TGCCATCAAAGTTGCATTCTCTGCATATCTGAGGTTGTTTCTATTTCTTCCGGCAATCTTAATTCTTGCCTATCACTTTGTAAATAAAGTTTAAACACAGTGTTCTCCAGTGGTTTGCAAAGGGGTCAATAGCGCCCCCTGGGTGTCAGTGGGAATACCTGTCAGGTGGCCTCTAGGAGGCTACGAGGTGGAAATGACAGCGAGACCTCAGAAAGCTGGTATTCCAGTTTTGTTGAATTAATTAATTAAACTACATAGCTTTGATTGGCGTTTGAATGAGTGTGAAATTAAGTGCTACAGCTTTGAATTTTACTGTGCTATCATCTTCCTATATAAAAAAAGCTTTTATTTGACTTTACAGATATAAAGTTATAACAATACCAAATGCATATCTATATATAGAGATTTATCTGAATTTCGAGACTTCCCACCATCCCCTCCTATTGTCAACATTTTCAGCTGCATATTATTTTATAATCTATATTTTGTATCTGTCCATATTGTCCATATTATTTCTTACGTTACAAGTGTTATTAAAACCCTGCTAATGTTTTCATCTGCTTGCAGTGGTATCCTAAATAAATTATAATTTTTCCCATTCTTTCTTGAAGTTTTTGTCTTCTTGGTCCCTGAGCTTTCCGGTCAATTTTGCCATTTCGACTTAATCCAACATCTTGGTTTGCCGTTACAGGTAGGTAGCTGTGTTGGTCTGCTGTAGTCAAAACAAAATAAAAAAAATTCCTTCCACTAGCACCTTAGAGACCAACTAAGTTTGTTATTGGTATGAGCTTTCGTGTGCATGCACACAAAAGCTCATACCAGTAACAAACTTAGTTGGTCTCTAAGGTGCTAGTGGAAGGAATTTTTAAATTTTATCTTGGTTTGCCATTCCTCTCTGGTAGGGACTCCTTCCTCTTTCCTAATAATAATATAATAATAATAATAATAATTTATTATTTATACCCTGCCCATCTGGCTGGGCTTCCCCAGCCACTCTGGGCGGCTTCCAACGTAATATTAAAATACAGTAATGTATCAAACATTAAAAGCTTCCCTAAACAGATGTCTTCTGATGTCTTCTAAAAGTCTGGTAGTTGTTGTTCTCTTTGACATCTGATGGGAGGGCATTCCACAGGGCGGGCGCCACCACCGAGAAGGCCCTCTGCCTGGTTCCCTGTAACCTCACTTCTTGCAACGAGGGAACCGCCAGAAGGCCCTCTGCGCTGGACCTCATCCGTGCTGCTGTTGTAGTATACATAAAAAGTATTTTCTGCTCCTTTGGGATGTCGGTACCTACGGTTCCTAATAAAAAAGTTTCTGGGTTGTTGTTTTCACAAAAGTTATTTTCAACATTTTTTTCATTTCATTATATATCATCTCCCAGAAAGCTTTTATTACCTTGCACGGCCACCACATGTGATAAAAGGTACCTTCTTTCTTTTTACATTTCCAGCAGGTATTTGTACTTGTTTTGTTGATGATAGCACATGTTTTATATTCATTTTATATGTGCTATCATCTTCCTTAGTGGGCCATGTATACGGCTATTCTGAATAATGCTCCCTCTCTGCAGGCAGAGGCGCTGCATGCAAAGGGGAGAAGCTAACGTATGCTTCCCCAACCTGGTGCCCTCCAGATTTTTGGACTACAGTTCCCAGCAGCCTCGGCATCGTACGGCTGTGCTGCCCGGGGCTTATGGGAGCTGCAGGCCAAGACGTCCAGAGAGCACAAGGTTGGGGAAGGCTGAGTTTAGCACAGTGCCTTGGGGCCAGACTGAGCCTCCCTCTGAAGTCTAATGAATATATTTCTTTATCTGCTGGGAGGATACTGTTGCCATAACCCATCACGGAATGCGTATTACTGTACAATAATAAATAACAGGAAACGTCCCACAACAACCCAAGTTAAACTGCTGCTGGTTCCATGGCAATGGTGGATTTGTGGAACTAACAAATAAAAAACAAATAAGTGTTAGGAGCTGAGCGGCAGGCAGTCATATGTCCTTCTGCTCCCCCTTCTGCCAATTTTCTGTCAGTCATAGAATCGCAGAATCATAGAATTGTAGAGGTGGGAGGGATCTTCAAGTGTCAACTTGTTGTTTAGTCGTTTAGTCGTGTCCGACTCTTCGTGACTCCATGGACCAGAGCACGCCAGGAACTCCTGTCTTCCACTGCCTCCCGCAGTTTGGTCAAGCACCTTCGAGAACTGTCCCACCATCTTGTCCTCTGTCGTCCCCTTCTCCTTGTACCCTCCATCTTTCCCAACATCAGGGTCTTTTCCAGGGAGTCTTCTCTTCTCATGAGGTGGCCAAAGTCTTGGAGCCTCAGCTTCAGGATCTGTCCTTCCAGTGAGCACTCAGGGCTGATTTCCTTCAGAATGGAGAGGTTGGATCTTCTTGCACTCCATGGGACTCTCCAGAGTCTCCTCCAGCACCATAATTCAAAAGCATCCATTCTTCGGCGATCAGCCTTCTTGATGGTCCAGCTCTCACTTCCATACATCACTACTGGGAAAACCATAGCTTTAACTATACGGACCTTTGTCGGCAAGGTGATGTCTCTGCTTTTTAAGATGCTGTCTAGGTTTGTCATTGCTTTTCTCCCAAGAAGCAGGTGTCTTTTAGTTCAAAATAATAATAATAATGATAATAATAATAATAATAATAATAATAATAATAATAATAATTTATTTATACCCTGCCTATCTGGCTGGGTTTCCCCAGCCACTCTGGGCGGCTCCCAACAGAATATTAAAAACACAATAAAACACCAAACATAAAAAAACCTCCCTAAACAGGGCTGCCTTCAGATGTCTTCTAAAAGTCAGACAGTTGTTTATTTCCTTGACAGCTGATGAGGAATCACAGCTAAAGAGATCCTTGACAGGTGGCCATCCAACCTCTGCTTTAAAACTTCCAAGAACGGAGATCCCACTACCTTCTGAAGGAGACTGTCTTCATTCTAAGGGAGCCCCAACCCCAAGGAATAGTCAGCTCCCCATCACTTCTCGAATGGAGTATGCATAACAGTATTATAACTCTGGTGAGTGCACAACTTGCACTGAATTGCCTCTTCATATATATCAAGTTGGTGGAATGTGCCATGTAACAATATTCTGTCTTCCAGGTGCTGTTTGGGCATATATTAGGAGGCCTTGGACTGTCCCCTCTCCAGGAAACGTTTCCTGGCTCAACTGTCACAACATTTCCCCCGCCAGATGACACACTGGAAGCAGCTTCCAGGGGTCTGGAGGGAGCCCTGTGGCCGCAAAGCCCTTCCCAACATGGGGCTCGTCTTCTTGCCTTCCCAGTTGCACTGAAATAACAAAACGGGGTGAACCGAAAAGCAAACTAATCCCCCTATCCCTCTAGAAAAAAACTTTTCAGACAAACTGCCCTGGTGAAATTCATTGAAAAACACACCTCTTTATCCTTAGCAGAGAACAGTACAGTCATACCTTGGGTTACAGATGCTTCAGGTTGTGTTTTTCCAAAACCTGGAAGTACCGGAACAGGCTACTTCTGGGTTTCAGGGGTCGCACATGCGAACACTGCGGGTTGCGAACGTGCATCCCACAAGGATCATGTTTGCAACCTGAGCATCCACTGTACAGAGGTTTCTTCCTATATACATAAAACGTAAGGGTGTCGTCAAGCTGCAGTTGGCATGGTTGCCAGCAGGCAGCCATGCCAACTCCAGGGGGATGACAGAATAGCAGGCACGCAGGTGAGAGAACGCACGGGGCAAGTGGCCGTTGGTCGCAGAATTGTACATTTGGAAGGGATCCCAAGGGCATAGCTGTCAACGTTTCCCTTTTTAAAAGGGAAATTCCCTTATTCCAAATAGGACTCCTCGCAAGAAAAGGGAAAAGTTGACAGCTATGTCCAAGGGTGCCATCATCATAGCTGTCAACTTACAGTTTTGAAAATAAGGGACCAGCAGCCTCGAAAATAAGGGATCAGCAGCCAAAATAAGGGATTTTCGAACACAGGTATGTTCAACTTCTAAGCCCCTCCAAGCCAAAGGCAGAAAGCCCAGCCAGCAGCCAAACGAAGCCTCAAGCGGTGGTTCCCACAGCGCAGCAACCCGGCAAAGGGGATGCAGCAAGGAAAACTACCGTCACCTCTCCGCTGGGAAGCACTGAGCAAAGGCGAGTCCCCAGGCAACGCGGCCAATTTGATCGGCACAAGGCATGCAAGCTCCACCCCCCAGTCCCAGCAAGCTCTTTGTATGTTCTTATGAAATGTCTGAAGGGCACCAGGTTAACAAAGTCTGCACTAATGGATCTGCTATTGAATTTATTCATTCGATGAATTCTTCCTGGTTTAGAGGGTTGGGTGTGGTTCTTTTCTTTTCCTTGTTGCTGCTGACATTGCATTTAATTGACACTTGTGCCATAGCCAGTCCCGAGAGCAAACGGTTAGCATTTTGCATGACAATATCACTAGAGTGTAAACAGCACCACCTAGAGATGGGCTGATCTCCATGTCACCAAGCCAGTTCTGAGAAAGGAGATGGAGGCACAGATTGTAGACGTGGATAGCGAATGGAAGCATGTGCTGGGCTGTGATCCAGGGGGGTAAAGGTAAAGGGACCCCTGACCATTAGGTCCAGTTGCGGATGACTCTGGGGTTGCGGTGCTCATCTCGCTTTATTGGCCGAGGGACCTGGCATACAGCTTCCGGGTCATGTGGCCAGCATGACTAAGCCGCTTCTGGCGAACCAGAGCAGCGCACAGAAACGCCGTTTACCTTCCCGCCGGAGTGGTACCTATTTATCTACTTGCACTTTGACGTGCTTTCAAACTGCTAGGTTGGCAGGAGCAGGGGCCGAGCAACAGGAGCTCACCCCGTCGCGGGGATTCGAACCGCCGACCTTCTTATCGGCAAGTCCTAGGCTCTGTGGTTTAACCCACAGCGCCACCCATGTCCTGGGACCCAGGGAGACCCAGGTTCAAATCCTTGTCCGCCCATGAAGCTACTCTGCAAAGCTGTTGTCACGATGTCGTGGGATTTCCCCCAGAGGACCTTGGAAAGACAAGCGCAAAGGCATCTTTCTGGACAATTTCAAGATGAATGGGGAGATGATGTTCTTCTCACCGTTTCAGGGAGCTCCTCAAGGAGCGTAGCCTTGAAACGCAAAGGATGGTCAATGCAGCCTGACATCAAAGGCCATTTCCTGCAATCCGGAAGAGGCAGAAAGTTGCAACAGACGCATTTGGGCCGATGTGGTTTGAGTTAATGTAAACTTCCTTCCCTACAGAATCTCATGGTATTTCCTGATTCCTACACAGACCCACGCTCACCCCACCCCACCCTGGTGTGATTCTCACAGTTTATTTTCCCCTAAGGGAATTTTGCTTTATGGAAAATCCTGGCACGTCAAATTCCATCCTGGATTTTTGCATGATTGTTATCTTTTAAATACTTGCTGTTGCAGATTGAATCTCACCACTTCCTCTCAGAAATAATCACTTGGTCCTTTTTCCTTCCAATCCACCCCCCCCCCATCCAAAAGGTAACCTAAGATGAGGAATGAACCGGGTAGTTTTGTTGGAATAGTGCAGTTTTATTTATTTTTATTTCACCACATTTATATACTGCTTGACTGAAATAAAACATCTACGTGCTTAACAAAAAATCAAAAATCAAAACATCAGAAATATCAATAAAAGATAGTTAAAACATATTTTAAAACATTAAATATATACAGGTGAAACTTGGAAAATTAGAACATCGTGGAAAAGTTAATTTATTTCAGTAATTCAACTTAAAAGGTGAAACTAATATATGAGATAGACTCATGACATGCAAAGCGAGATATATCAAGCCTTTATTTGTTATAATTGTGATGATCATGGTGTACAGCTGATGAAAACCCCAAATTAACAATCTCAGAAAATTAGAATATTAAATGAAATCAGCAAAACAAGGGCTGCAAATAGAGCAATATTGGACCTCTGAGAAGTAGAAGAATGCCCAAACCAAGTGCTGAGCACATATGCATTTTCTGAGATTGTTAATTTGGGGTTTTCATCAGCTGTATGCCATGATCATCACAATCATAAGGCTTGAGATATCTCACTTTGCATGTCGTGAGTCTATCTCATATTTTAGTTTCACCTTTTAAGTTGAATTACTGAAATAAATGAACTTTTCCACTATATTCTAATTTTGCGTGGACAGGCGGAGTCCCCAGATCCCGCGCGGTCCCTCTGGAGCCAAGTGAGGATTCCCAGGTAAGATCCTCCCTCTATTGTGTGGACAGGTAATCCCTCCCCTACCTGGCCTGGTCTCCTTGGCAACGCTTCCCCCAGGTGGGATTGGACAACTGACTGAGGTAGGTGGAGACCTCCAGGTATCCCACCTGAGGGAAGGCAAACCAAGCCTATGCTGTTGGAGCCGCTCCAGATCTAGGGGCTGCACGCATCCACGCAAAGGGCGCCCCCCCGTTTTAAGCGGGGAGCGGTCATTCTGAGTTTCACCTGTATATTTTTTAAATGAAGCAGTACAAGGAGTCATCAAACCGCCGTAGGGACTCTGCTCCAGATTTGTGTAGGGTTTACTCTCCCGAAAATATCCCAAAAGGTAGCAGAGGTTTCGGATCAGCACGTTCCTTCTCCTAGATGGGCTCCCTTCCCAGGTGGACAAGCCCCATCTGCCCCTCATTTCCTTCTACAGCATTAAAAGATAGATTTATTAGAAGTTTTATTAGAAGCGGGTATTATGTGGCATAATAGACAGCATCTTAAAAAGCAGAGACATCACCTTGCTGACAAAGGTCCGTATAGTAAAAGCTATGGTTTTCCCAGTAGTGTTGTGTGGAAGTGAGAGCTGGACCATAAAGAAGGCTGATCGCCAAAGAATGGATGCTTTTGAATTATGGTGCTGGAGGAGACTCTGGAGAGTCCCATGGACTGCAAGAAGAACAAACCTCTCCATTCTTAAGGAAATCAGCCCTGAGTGCTCACTGGAAGGACAGATCCTGAAACTGAGGCTCCAATACTTTGGCCACCTCCTGAGAAGACTCCCTTGAAAAGACCCTGATGCTGGGAAAGATAGAGGGCACAAGGAGAAGGGGACTACAGAGGACGAGATGGTTGGACAGTGTTCTGGAAGCTACCAGCATGAGTTTGACCAAACTGCGGGAGGCAGTGGAAGACAGGAGTGCCTGACGTGCTCTAGTCCAGGGGGTCACAAAAAAGCCGACACGACTAAACGACTAAACAACAACAACAAATTATTATTTCTACTTCTGCAGATCAAAATGCCCAGGTGGTGCCACGCAGGGTCAGATGATCTGCAAGCAAACTGGTCCCAAGGTGCTAAGGGCTTTATACAGTGGTGCCTTGCAAGACGAAATTAATTCGTTCCACGAGTTTTGTCGTCTTGCAATTTTTTTCGTCTTGCGAAGCACGGTGTCGGGAAAGTTTTGGAAAAGCTTCAAAAATCACCAAAGTCTTTAAAAACCTCAAAAAAGGCTACCACACCGCGTTCTATGAGTTGCTACTCGAAGTCAAGTCGCAACTGTATTAACTTTTTTAAGAAAAAGTAAACAAACTTGAAAGACGTTTTCTTCTTGCGAAGCAAGCCCATAGGGAAAATCGTCTTGCGAAGCAGCTCAAAAAACAAAAAACCCTTTCGTCTAGCGAGTTTTTTGTCTTGCGAGGCATTCGTCTTGCGAGGTACCACTGTATACGAAGAGCATCATCAGGGATGATGGGAGCTGGCTTGATCCAGCAGCCTCCTTTTACATCCTGCGTTCTTTGGATTTCCCCGGAGGCTCACAGAAGGCTTTCGCATTGAAGGAAATGAGTTGCAGGGGGGAAATATGTGACAGATGAAGTTAGACAAAGCCGCAGAGTATCCGAGCTCCAGACGCCCGTCTCCAAAACAGAACACAAATAGAGTTGAACATTTCCGCCAAAACCAAACTTGCGAAATTGGGTGTGCTTCGTATGTCCAAAAGACTGGTTTCCAGAACTTCCAAGAGTCATTCCTCCTCTTCTGCTTCTGGTGGCAATCCTGGCCGGTGCTAAAGACTCTGACTCAGAAGAGAGCATTGCGATGGGTGGGGTACCAGCGACTAGGCTGTCTCTGTTGTAAACAAAATCTGCCCTTCTTCCCTTATGGGGTATCCAAGAGCCCATATAGAGTCCTTACGTAGGTTCCCTATTGGTAGGAGAAAATAACAGAGGCCAACCAGAGAATATTGAGAAGCAAAGCAGCTAGTAAGCCGGATCTTTATTGATCTGTTGCAACAGGGTGCTCCCCTCACACGCAGGAAAGGAGGAGGAACCCAGAATAATGGTGCACAAGGCCTTATATAGACATTTTAAATTCCCTGCCCTGGAGCTCAAGACCATCCCTCCATAAATCATACCTACATCACAGAAAAGGCTGTCTACAGCAGAAATCTGAGTGCGTTGTTTATCTCGTCTGACAGGTTACCTGTTAATGCTCACTTGACTGGATACCCTGGGGAGCCTGGCCAGTCTTTTGTAATGATCTGTTCTGGAGCCCTGTTCGCATCCTGAAACGAACGCAACCCGCGTCTGTGTGTCTGCGTGTGTGCGGGTCGCGATTTGCCGCTTCTGCGCAGGCATGTGACATCATTTTGAGCGTCTGTGCGTGCGCAAGCGGCGAAGCCCGGAAGTAACGGATTCCGTTACTTCTGGGTCGCCGCGGAGCGCAACTCGAAAACGCTCAACCTGAAGCAACTTCAACCTGAGGTATGACTGTATAGCATATATTCAACACAAAAAACAGTGACAATTTGTTGTTGACAAAGGACAGCTGGACATCGAAAGGGCCCCATTACCTTCAGTAGCTTAGGGCCGCACTGAACCTAAATCCGGCCCTGGATAGGGACCATATTTAAGTCACCTGGGGCCGGAAGTCATTTTGGCTTGAATAGCAGGGTAGGTAAAGGTAAAGGGACCCCTGACCATTAGGTCCAGTCATGACCGATTCTGGGGTTGCGGCGCTCATCTCGCTTTACTGGCCGAGGGAGCCGGCGTACAGCTTCCGGGTCATGTGGCCAGCATGACTAAGCCGCTTCTGGCGAACCAGAGCAGCACACGGAAACACCGTTTACCTTCCCGCCGGAGCGGTACCTATTTATCTACTTCCACTTCGTGCTTTCGAACTGCTAGGTTGGCAGGAGCAGGGACCGAGCAACAGGAGCTCACCCCGTCGCGGGGATTTGAACCGGCGACCTTTTGACCGGCAAGTCCTAGGCTCTGTGGTTTGACCCACAGCACCACCCGTGTCCCTGGACAGCTGGACATCGATGGACAGCTGGACATTGAAAGGGCCCCATTACCTTCAGTAGATTAGGGCCGCACTGAACTGAAATCCGGCCCTGGATAGGGACCATATTAAGTCACCTGGGGCTGGAAGTCATTTTGGCTTGAATAGCAGGGTAGAAATGCTCTAAATCAGTGGCTTTCAACCAGTGGGCCGTGGCACCCTGGGGTGCCTTGAAGGATGGCCAGGGGTTATGCAGCCTTTGTCCCTCTTTCCCTCCCTACTCGGATGCCCTCCTGCGTCTCTGCCCCCCAAAGGCTTGCATGGATGTTCGTTGCTGCAGGTTCTCCATCCCTGGGCTATTGGTTTCTGGAATGTCTTGAGAACTCCATAATATGAATTCTTTCCTCTTGCCTAGGGGGAAGCAGAGGAGGGAGCTATGGTGACGCTGGTCATGGAAGTGATTCCCTGGGTGTGTCCCTCATAGGCAAATGTGTGTCTGGGGGTTCCCCACGCCAGAAGCTGAGTCACCAAAGCACTGGAAGATGACTCACCAATACGGAGGAATTGTGAAAAACACCCAAATGACACGCTGGGGCTCAAGAAGGGGGAAAGTGTTTTCATTTTGAGTTTAGCGATGGCTCTTCTCCCACAAACAAGAAAGATGCCAATATTGGAGAAGGGAAATACTTTAAGCAGTTTTTTTTTAAACTGTAACAGCCAGATGGGTGGGGTATAAATAAATAATAATTATTATTATTATTTGGGGCAGAGCTACTTGATTTTGGTTCCTCTGTAAACTTTCAGACACAATCATATTCATTACTATGACTTATTATTTTTAGTAGTAGTGGTAGTAGTTGTAGTAATAATAAAATAATAATAATAATTTATTATTTATATCCCGCCCATCTGGCTGAGTTTCCCCAGCCACTCTGGGCGGCTACCAATCAAGTGTTAAAAACAATACAGCATTAAATATTAAAAACTTCCCTAAACAGGGCTGCCTTCAGATGTCTTTTAAAGATAGGATAGGTAAAGGTAAAGGGACCCCTGATCATTAGGTCCAGTCGTGGCCGACTCTGGGGTTGCGGCGCTCATCTCGCTTTACTGGCCGAGGGAGCCGGTGTACAGCTTCCGGGTCATGTGGCCAGCACGACTAAGCCGCTTCTGGCGAACCAGAGCAGCACATGGAAACGCCGTTTACCTTCCCACAGGAGCGGTACCTATTTATCTACTTGCACTTTGATGTGCTTTCGAACTGCTAGGTTGGCAGGAGCAGGGACCGAGCAACAGGAGCTCACCCCGTCGCAGGGATTCGAACCGCTGACCTTCTGATCGGCAAGTTCTAGGCTTTGTGGTTTAACCCACAGCGCCACCCGCATCCCAAAGATAGGATAGCTGCTAATAAATAATAATAATGTAATATTTATTCATTCCAAAAAATGTGTAAAAACCCCATTCGAAGCACTTTACAAAAAGAACAATACAATTATTAGTAAAAACAATTAAAAACATTCAGAAAATTAAAATTAGTGTTTCACACCACCCCATTATCCAAGCAGTATGAGATTTCAGGGGTTCCAGGCACTTGCCCAAGGTTCTGTGTCCCTGGAATGAGACAGAGCCGAGACTGCGGTGTCTCAGGATCTACGCTTTATTTACACATATGCCTCAACGTCCCAGGAGGTCTTGCTTCTCCCATAGCCTTGGATCCCAGGAGAAATCAAGCATGGCTCCTCTCCCTCTTTGGTATCATGGACGCTTTGGCCTGAGAAGATTCCTGCATTGCAGGGGGTTGGACTAGATGACCCTGGAGGTACCTTCCAATTCTATGATTTCTATAAAACCAAAACGCGCGTCAGCTTTCTAGGTATCTGGGTAGGCTTGTTTATCAAGAGGCAGGGACTTCCAAAGTGTAGGAAGCACCGCACTAAAAGATATATAGTAAAACACAAACAAACACTACTTGGTTGTGCTTAAGATTAATCTCCCAGATATAATGGAAAAAAACTGATTTGAATAAATGAATACAGAATATTTGTCACTTAGGAGAAGTGTTGAAGCTGCAAAGCGATAGAGGGAAGTCAACTAGTATAGCAGGGATTCAAACTAGTTTTCCGGAACAGAAAGCGACTGCAAAGAAAGAAAGAAAACAAGGATTACAAATGTAATTTATTTCTGAGAACCTGGCTTATGGAATATTCAAATTACTTTTTGTATCAATTTTGAACAATTTTGTGTACTTGACTAATTCTTTTTCCTTTTCCCTTATTTATTATTTTTCCTTTTTTCCTTTTCTTTCCTTTTTATATTTTTACCTTTTGTATTTTTTTCTTTTTCTTTTTGAATTATTTGGATGTAATGTTTAATTCATGCCTTCTCTCTGATTCAATAAATAAAATAAATAAATAAATAAATAAATAAATAAAAGATACATAGTAACAACAACAACAACAATAATAAATAATAGCAATAATAGCAGTAATGGCGAGAACAAGAACAACGACGTTTAAATATAACGCGCTTTTGAACCGGACCACGCTAACCCATGGAAAAGCAGTACGCATGCGCGCCCCGGGGCGTTCGGCATTCCATCTTCCCCGCCCCGCTTGCCTTCCTTAAGAGGCAGAGCGCATGCGCACTGGCCAGCCTGGCATTCTTTGGCCCTTGCGGGAGGGAGACGGAGCGAGCGAGTGAGGACGGAGGCGGGGCTAGGCAAGGAGCGCCCTTTCCCGATTGGCTCCTCTTCGGGCCCCGCCCCTCCCGGCGAGCCGCCACGTCAGTCACAGCTACGCCCGCCGCCGGGATCCTGCGCCTGCGCGCTGGGAGGCGCCTGGCCGCTTCTCCCCTCAGCCGGCGTCTCGCGAGGGGGGGAGAGAAGGCGGGAGAGCGCGGCGCGTGCACGCGGAGGGTAAGTGCGCGGGGGACGTGGGCGCGCGTGGGTGAGGGGGGAGTAAATCAACGGGGGGGGGCAGGAGACGGAGAGAGCCCCATGGAACCTACGGAGGGACGAGAGCGCCTCTGAGCATGGGCAGAGCGCCTGCCGACTAGCCGCTCCGCCAGGTGGAAGGGGGCTTCCAGGCGAGCCCAGTTCCTCAAGACTTCTTCCCTTTGGGGCGGCGGATGAAACCTTGCCAGTTGCCTCAAGGATTGCAAGGACCCTGCCAGGTGAGTCCCCCCGTTGCAGGTGTGGCGGCGCCTGCCAGGTAAGCTCTTGGAGGAGGGGGGAGGTTTGTAGCATGGCAGGTGCCATAGCTGTCAACCGACCCTTTTTTTGCTGGAAATTCCCTTATTCCAGCGACGTCTCCCGCTGCTATCCCGTAGACCATCCCCGGGACAGGTGAGGCTGCCGGTCCCTTATTTTCAAATCTGAAAGTTGACAGCTATGGCAGGTGCCAGTCTGTTGTTGTTGTTTTTTAAATGATATTTATTAATTTTTTAACATTTCCAACACAACGCTTCAAACAAAAAAAGAAAAAAGAAAAAACAATGCAAATACAATACAAAATCGCTACACGGACTAAAAAAACAAACAAAAACAAGCAAAAACAGTTTAAAAACACCTCAGACATTTTCAATATCTTATATTTCATTCACTTATTTCCAGCGACCTCCTCCCACCTCCCTTTTTGTATTCCACTTCTATTATTTGTTTCAGCAATTCCTTTCCATCTTACTCTGTTTTCTGTTCTATAATTATCTTAACACATTCTTGCCATACTTTTCCTTTAATTTTCTATTAATCTATCTATACCTAATTCCTTATGACATTTCTGCTAAAGCCATATAATTTCATTCCAACATTTTTCTAACATTCCTTAATTTTACAGTATCTCTATAAATGGTCTTTAAACTTTTTCCAATCTTCTTCCACCGACTCTTCACCCTGGTCTCGGATCTTGCCAGTCATTTCCGCCAATTCCATATAGTCCATCAATTTCATCTGCCATTGTCCAACGCTTCAATGTTTTCAAGAAACAACCATTCTCTCAACCAGCAAAAAGCAGATAGTTCACAGCAAAATTTAAAGGTCTGGCAGGGCAGGTCCTCCTCCTTCTTTGGCATCCATCAATATCTTAAGTTTTACTCGAGGCTTCCTGTGCCAGTCTGGGATCGCAGCCCCCGGGTGGCAGGGCTGTGTGAGCACTTGCCTCTTATTTTTGCACGGTTTTTTTTTTTGCAAGATGCTCCCCTGAACCTTCCTTTTTGCTACACCCGAGTGATCTGTGGCAGAAATGCATATTGGGCGCATAAACTGATTCAGGTACGATCTGCTGTGGAGCTGGATTTGCTGATGCCCAGGTCCAGGTTCCATGGCTAGAAGACTCTCCCGAAATAAATTTAAAAATTGCCCAGTAGCACCTTAGAGACCAACTAAGTTTATTCTGAGTATAAGCTTTTGTGTGTATGCACACTTCTTCAAGAAATACTCTCTGTGTTTCTATATATCTGTATATGAGAGAGTGGCTAAGAGTTTTCAGACTCGGACATGGGAGACCAGGGTGCGAATCCTCCCTTGGCCATGAAGCTCTCCCTGGGCCATTCCCTGCCTCTCAGCCTAACCTACCTCACAGGGTTGTTGTGGGGATTGAAGAAAGCGTCTGTCTGGCCTCCCAGTTGTCAGAGCTGGCAGGGAAAGAAGCCCGGTCCTGCTTGTGGGCTTTTCAGTGGGGCATCTGCTTGGCACCCGTGAGAACGAGATCCTGGACTAGGCAGATCTTTGGCCTAATAGAAGAAGGCTTTTCTTATGTTTGTTCTTATGGGTTATTCATAGAATTGTAGAGTTGGAAGGGACCCAGGGGTCATCTAGTCCAGCCCCCTGCAATGCAGGAATCCTGACCTTAGCCATCCTTGGGGGGGACTCGTACCACCAACTTTCGGGTTAACAGCCAGAAATCATTTATTATATTATTTATATATATATATATATATATATAGATATATATATATATATATATTATATACCTCCCGGTATGCCCCACGGAGGACCTCAAGGTCCATAAATAGCAAGACCCTAGAGGTCCCGGGCCCTAAGGAAGTCAGATTAGCCTCAACCAGAGGCAGGGCCTTTTCAACGCTGGCCCCGGCCTGGTGGAACGCTCTGTCTCATGAGACCAGGGCCCTGCAGGATCTGATCTCTTTCCGCAGGGCCTGTAAGAGTTGTTCCGCCTGGCCTTTGGCTTGGAGTCCATTTGATTCCCTCCCCCTCTTTCCTTTTTCCTTTCTCCTTCTGTGATGGAACCCCTATTTGGGGACTTCCCTGGCTTTTTTCTGGCCCACGTAGGACCATCTGGATAGTTGGCCTTGGTGAAGACTTGACGTTTTCATCCCCAAAAAGTTTTTTATTTGAGTTTCTACTGAAATGAGGCTGCATTTTAATGTTTTAATGTCGTATTTTAATCTTGTTTTTAAGTTGTATTTCAATCAATTGTTTTTACCTGGTGTTAGCCGCTCTGAGCCCGGTCGGTCTTGGCTGGGTAGGGCGGGGTATAAATAATAATAATAATTATTATTATTACATTTATATCCCACCTTTCCTTCAAGGAGCACAAGGTGACGCACACAATTCCGTTTAATCGTCACAACCACCCTGCAAAGTAGGCTAAAGTTAAACTAAGAGACAGCAACTGGCCCAAGGTCACGCAGCAAGCTTCATGGCAGGGTAGGGATTTGATCTCCCACACCCTGTTCCAGCGCTCTTTAAGCATTTTGCCGCAATGGGTTAGAAGGGAAGATGCCAGCAGCTAGTGAGAGCTGTGGAACATCTACGTCTCTGAACTAAATATCCAGTAAAATGTAATTCTGTCAGCCAAAGAGAATTGAGCTCAAATGACAGGATGGGGTTGCTCCTTTAGGAATGGTGTGCCACGTCAGACGAGAAGGATAACTGTGAATTCACACCCACTTTTCTACAAATGTACACGGATGCAAAATGTAGCCAGCTATTTCCTTGTTTGCTTTCTTCACATTATAGCAAACATTGCCTTCATGTCATTCTTTACCCTTAACAGTTGACTCAACTGCAGAACTTATTTCTGTAGGTTGAACAGGGATCCGTATACCTTCCAACATAGGTGTTGCCGTCAAGGAAAGAGGTCTGGCATTGGGAGCTGCTTTAGGTCTGGATTTGGCCAGTGGAATTCTTGACTCTTCCTATGAACAGCAGACACCCCCTTCCAATGACACATCACACACATGAACTTATTTTGTCATACTGTGTACTGCCTTAATAACTCCAGACTGTGAATCAGTTTATAAATTGGTGTTGTTTTTTTTAAAAAAGGTATTTTTTAAAAAGTACTCCTGGTTCCACCAGTGGCTTGTTATGTTACCAACTGCACTGGCTCCCGGTGGAGTACAGGGTCAGGTTTAAGGTGCTGCTTTTGACCTTTAAAGCCCTATGCGGCCTAGGACCCACATACCTACGGGACCGCCTCTCCTGGTATGTTCCACGGAGGACCTTAAGGTCCACAAATGACAACACTTTGGAGGTCCCAAGTCACAAGGTGGTTAGATTGATCTCAACTAGGGCCAGGGCCTTTTGAGTACTGGCCCCGACTTGGTGGAACGCTCTCCCACAAGAGACCAGGGCCCTGCGGGACTTGACATCTTTCCGCAGGGCCTGCAAGGCAGAGCTGTTCCGCTGGCCTTGGGTTTGGACTCAGTCTGACCCTTAGGTTTCCCTCCGCTTATGGTTCTGATCTATGGGCTACTTTTAAAATGAGGCTGCATTTTAAATTGTATTTTAACCCTTATTTTAATAAACTGGTTTTTGTTTGTTTGTTTTCCCCTGTTATGTTTTATTGTAATTTTATTGGTGTTAGCCGCCCTGTGCCCGGCTCTGGCCGTGGAGGGCAGGGTGTGTGTGTATATATATATCTATAAATAATATAAATATATTATTATTATTATTATTAAGATGGGGGAACCTGTGATCAGGTGCCTTTGGACTCCAGCTCCCATCATCCCTTTCACTGTCCATTCTGGCTGGGGCTGATGGGAGTTGGAGTCAACAACACTTGGATGACCACAGGTTCCCTACTTCTGCTATACAGCATTGGAAAGGGACCTTTGAATCCTCGCCTTCACACTTTGCATTCTGTAGATCCCCAACCTGCTGCCCTCCAGATGTTTTGAACTGCAGGTCCCACCAGCCCCAGCCAGCGTGGTCAGCAATGATGGAAGTTTTAGTCTGGATCACCTTATAGATCACGTGTTCAGGGTAGCCAAGAATTGGTGCAGTGAGTTCTACTGGCACTCATTTTGGCTTATGAACATTAGCGTGGGAAAATGATCGTTGGTGTGTACAAGACCCTTCCCTTTTGCCTGCTGATACACAAAAGGGGAAGGATGAAATTGGCTACCTACTTTCAGTCTTTGCAGAGATGACTGGCTTTAGGCAGACTATAAGAGAAAGCTCAGTCTCTTGGCTAGAATAATGCTAATTTCTTGTAATTTTGTGGTCTGCACAAATTACAGTATGAATGATAGTAGCCCTTGCTCTGTAAAATGTTTTGTAATTTTGTTCCCCTGAGAAAAGAAAGCCCTCCAAACACAAACATGGTTATCTAAAAGTTCATATTCTGTGCTTGGTGTGTTTGTTTAACCCCAGATCCTGGTGTATTTTTTAGTTCAAAGAACCTGTCTGATGAAAAAATAAATATTGCTTTAATGTTAACCTTTTGTTGCGTCAGAGGCATCAAGGTAATAGGCTGCTATGCAGTCATGTTCTTATTTATCTTACATTTCAGAAGGGTGGCATTGATATGGAATGTATATTTTAACGTCTGAAAGTTTCGGTACAAGTGTCAAATATTTTTAGATGGTATCTTTGAATCACATGCATTATTACGATTTTATGTTTTAGCTGTGAGTTACAGTAAGGAACATGGCTAGTTTAAAAGATACTTGGAAGAGGAGCAACAGCAGCCCCTTGTCAAATTCTTATCTCTCTTGGCGCCTGAAAGGAATAGTTTAAATTATTCCTGTGTTCTAGATTCCATTTTTCTAGCATTTTTTAACCCGGGGAAAAATTTGTGTATTTGCACTGGCGCTGTGGGTTAAACCACAAAGCCTAGGACTTGCTGATCAGAAGCTTGGCGGTTCGAATCCCCACGACGGGGTGAGCTCCTGTTGCTCGGTCCCTGCTCCTGCCAACCTAGCAGTTCAAAAGCACCTCAAAGTGCAAGTAGATAAATAGGTACTGCTCTGGCGGGAAGGGAAACAGCGTTTCCGTGCGCTGCTCTGGTTCACCAGAAGCGGCTTAGTCCTGCTGGCCACATGACCCGGAAGGTGTACGCCGCCTCCTTCGGCCAATAAAGCGAGATGAGCGCCGCAACCCCAGAGTCGGCCGCGACTGGACCTAATGGTCAGGGGTCCCTTTACCTTTTACTGGGACAGAAAGCAAGTCAAATTTAGGAGCAGAGGCATAGGCTGCCTGGAAAGTTTAGGACAAGAGGAAGGTCAGTTTGGCACTATTTAAGGCTGGTCTAAGGACTGAAACAGCCAACAGCTGTTAGCCACACTGAGTAACTGCATGGGGTTAGAAAGGCAGTAAATAAACTTAAAACGAGCAAGAAACATAGAAACGCTAAACTATTTCCAAATGTGAATCATTGTGTTTTTTAATTCCAGTACGCCAGTTGCAGTCTCAGCTGCCATGATGCCTGCAGCAACAGTAAAGCCTGACACCACGCCATTGTATGACCCTCGCCTCCTTCAGGAACTGGACTGGAGTCAGAATACCGTGACGTTTTCTCCTGCTATTTCTCCTGTGGAACCGGGCAGTGGTTTAGTTTTGCGACCACTTTGCATTGCCGACATCAACAAAGGTACAGCTCACTTTTCTCTGAACGCCTAAGTCCACTTGAACTCAAAGGCTACATATGCACATCGTAACCCAGGACTGCATTCGAGGACAACGGCCAGAGCAAACTATTAAGTCTTACACTGGATAGTTTTGTAGAAAATGCATTGTAAGAAGAGCAGGACTGTTGGTCTTGGATAGGAGGGGCTTAAAATAATTCCATGTTTATGGAAGACCATCTTACTTGGCTACAAGTGATCGCCAAAGAAAAATAATTCTAAATGTAGAAAGCACTGTCTGCTTTGCTAGGTTTTGTGTGGTTCCTCTCCTCTGCTATTTTGTGTGTGATTTTCCATTTTTTTGGGTGTTTTTATTAACTTTATTCTATGCTGCCCTGATAGCTTTGCTGAAGGGCTGTCTAAAAATCTTGCCCATTTCACTACACTTGAAGAACTGTATTGTAGTGGCTTCTTGGTTCTTGTCTCCCACATCACTCCAGACACTGAATTGTGGACACTACTTGTGGAATCTCTACTTGAATATTGAGTTTTGTGCTTGCCTTGAAAAATACATTTATGCAAACTGTTTCTCTCTCTTGCAGGCTTTTTAAAAGTTTTAGGTCAACTGACTGAAACGGGAAGTGTCAGCCCTGAGCAATTCATCAGTGAGTACCTTGTTGTATTTTGCAGCTTGGAGGAAAGGAACAGGGGGTTTGCTTCAGTGCAGCTGTCTCACCGACCTTGCTTGGCTTCTAAAAGAGATGCCTTGTTGGTAAATCATGAGTTCATGGGTGTGAGGAGTGGTTTAAGTAGCAAAAAAAGCAGGGGGAACCCAGTCATTGGGCAGCCTATACATTTGACTACATCAACAGTTACACATCACTTGCATTTCCCATAAGAGACCCTCACATTCTATTCACCTGCTTGTCAAGGGTTAGGTGCAGTATATCCTGGCAGAACGTTTTTAGGTGCCAGGCAAAATCATTTCTCTATAACTAGGCCTTTCTTATAACAAAGTTATAACTATAACTTTGGCTGATTGAACATTCTAGGGCCTTTTAAATGTGTTTGTGGGAGGGGAGGTAATTGGTTTGCTTTTGCTTTTGTTTTATTAAGTATTTTGTGTTCTCATTTTGTATTTTTATGTTGTCAACTGCCCTGGAATACAAATTTAGTAAGTAAGTAAGTAAGTATGTATGTATGTAGTAGTAAGGTAAAGGTAAAGGGACCCCTGACCATTAGGTCCAGTCGTGGCCGACTCTGGGGTTGCGGCGCTCATCTCGCTTTATTGGCCGAGGGATCCGGCGTACAGCTTCCGGGTCATGTGGCCAGCATGACTTAGCCGCTTCTGGTGAACCAGAGCAGCGCACGGAAACGCCGTTTACCTTCCCACCGGAGCGGAACCTATTGATCTACTTGCACTTTGACGTGCTTTCGAACTGCTAAGTTGGCAGGAGCAGGGACCGAGCAACGGGAGCTCACCCCGTTGCGGGGATTCGAACCGCCAACCTTCTGATCGGCAAGTCCTAGGCTCTGTGGTTTGACCCACAGCGCCACCCATGTCCCATGTATGTAGTAGTAGTAGTAATAATAATAATAATAATCTGGGTGTGCAAACCTGAGCAGAGCTATAGGAAAACCCCATACCAGGGGAATGTATATCCTCTTACCAAGAATGCTCCTACCTGTATTTTCTAGAAACATTCGAACACATGAAGAGTTCTGGGGACTACTACGTTACAGTAGTGGAAGATACTATTCTAGGAGAGATTGTGGCTACTGCAACTTTAGTCATAGAGCACAAGTTTACTCACTCGTGTGCAAAGGTATGTTGGGTAGTGTGGGAAATACTGTTGCTGTGAATAAGTTCTGGCACTTTCTAGTACTCAGTGGTATTGCCTGTCTTCACAGAGGGGAAGAATAGAAGACGTTGTTGTAAGCGGAGAATGCAGAGGAAAACAACTTGGGAAATTGTAAGTGGCTGTTAATCGTCTGCAGTAGCTTACCAGCCGGGTTGTGGGGAGTGGTGTCAGCTGCCTCTCCTGCTATGCCCCATGGAGAGCCTCAAGGTCCATAAATAGCAACACCCTAGTGGTCCCGGGCCCTAAGGAAGTTAGATTAGCTTAAACCAGAGCCAGGGCCTTTTCAACACTGGCCCCGGCCTGGTAGAACGCTCTGTCTCATAACACCAGGCCCTGCAGGATCTGATTTCTTTCCGCAGGGCCTGTAAGATAGAGATGTTCCACCTGGCCTTTGGCTTGGAGTCAATTTGATTCCCTCCCCGTCTTTCTTTTTTATTTTCCTTTCTCCTCCTGCGATGAGGCTACATTTACATTTTAATATTTTAATATTTCAATATTTTAATGTTGTATTTTAATTTTGTTTTTAAGTTGTATTCATTCAACTTATTTTTATTATTGCTTGTTAGCCGCCCTGAGCCCAGCCTTGGCTGGGGAGGGCGGGGTATAAATAAAAATTATTATTATTATTATTATTATTATTATTATTATTACATGCCCCACAAGACCTAAGTGAGCAAGTGAGCAAGGACCGCCTCTCGCCATATGAACCAACCCAGTCCTTGCAAGCATTCTGGCCTTTCTTTGTGTGCCTCTATGAGAACGGGCCTTTTCCGAGGTGGCTCCCCACTTGTGGAATTCTCTTCCCAGGGAGGCTCACCTGGCGCCTTCATTACGTATTTTTAAGCCCGACAAAAACTTTCCTCTTCTCCCAGGCCTTTGCCGAATTAAGCAAGCTATGGCCTTTTAAACTGTAGGAGGTGTTGTTTGCTTGTTACTATGTTATGCATTTTTTGTTTTTATACTGTAAGCTGCCCTGTGACCCTTAGATGAATGGTGACACAGAAATTTAATAAAAAACAATAGCAATAAAAATCACCAATGGTGTCTGACGCTCTCCCCCAAACACACATTCTGCAAGGCTAAACTTCTTCTAAAGCAATAAATTGATATTTATATAACACCTTTCAAGCATCCCAAACTAGTCATATTCATTCTTTACAACCATTCTGTAATATGGGGCTGGTATTATCCCTGTATTGCAGGAGTGAGGTTGAGGCAAGTGGCTTTCTGAAGACCACTTAGCTCTCTTACAAGTTCTCTTAACACTTGAATCGGCAATTTTACAGCTCATGCCCTTTGCCCATGGATGGGGACTTTGTGGGTCTCCAAATGATGTTGGACTGATTCACACCAGCCGCGCCCAGCATGATGTATGGTCAGAGTTGATCTGGTGGGCCACAGCTTCATCACCCTGATTTGAGTCTCTTAAGCACTTCCGGAAGTGTGGTGCCGCAGCTGGGAGCGTTGGGCTTATGGGAACATAAAGAGCTATCTTATACAGTCAGATCTTTGGTCTATCCAGTTCAGTATTGTCTGCAGTAAATGGCAGCAGCTATCCAGTGTTTCTTAAGAGATGCCAGGAATTTAACAGGGAACCTTCTAAGTGCTGAGCATGCAGCCTAGTAACACTAACCAGATAGCTCCAAATTCACATCCATAAGCACCCCCCAAGCCCTGTCTCACCTGAAGCCAGTTTATTTGTAACCTACTGTCAGGGCTGCCTCAGGTCTCAGCTCACAAAAGACCAACGCCAAGTTCTTCTTATATACAGTGGTGCCTCGCAAGACGAAATTAATTCGTTCCGCAAGTTTTTTCTTCTTGCGAGTTTTTCGTCTTGCGATGCACGGTTTCCCATAGGAATGCATTGAAAATCAATTAATGCGTTCCTAGGGAAACCGACTTCAGACCAGGTCCGGGGACAGTCTGTCCCCGACCTCTTCTGAAGGCTGGGGGGACAAGGGCTTTTCTTCCCACCCCCAGCATTTTAAAAAACCCCGGGACAGCGGAGGGCTTCTCCGCTGTCCGGGGCGATCTTAAAATGCTGGCGGGCGGCATTTTAAAATTGCCTCGGGACAGCGGAGGACTTCTCCGCTGTCCGGGGCAATTTAAAGCCCCTGGGAAGGCAGGCAGGGGGACAAAGACTTTGCCCCCGCCAGCCTTCAGAAGAGGTCCTGGACCTCTTCTGAAGGTTGGCGGGGCGAAAGTCTTGTCCCCCCACCTGCCTTCAAAAGCTGTCCAGCCAAGGCTCGCGGACCTCTCCGCAAGCAGCGGCAGCGCTGCCGCTGCTCGCGGAGAGTTGCCGGCATGCCGAAGCCTGCGCGCGCTGAGATCAGCGCGCCCAGGCTTCGCGGACCTCTCCGCGAGCAGCGGCAGCGCTGCCGCTGCTCGCGGAGAGTTGCCGGCATGCCGAAGCCTGCGCGCGCTGAGATCAGCGCGCCCAGGCTTCGCGGACCTCTCCGCGAGCAGCGGCAGCGCTGCCGCTGCTCGCGGAGAGTTGCCGGCATGCCGAGCCTGCGCGCGCTGAGATCAGCGCGCCCAGGCTTCGCGGACCTCTCCGCGAGCAGCGGCAGCGCTGCCGCTGCTCGCGGAGAGTTGCCGGCATGCCGAGCCTGCGCGCGCTGAGATCAGCGCGCCCAGGCTCCGCGGACCTCTCCGCGAGCAGCGGCAGCGCTGCCGCTGCTCGCGGAGAGTTGCCGGCATGCCGAAGCCTGCGCGCGCTGAGATCAGCGCGCCCAGGCTTCGCGGACCTCTCCGCGAGCAGCGGCAGCGCTGCCGCTGCTCGCGGAGAGTTGCCGGCATGCCGAGCCTGCGCGCGCTGAGATCAGCGCGCCCAGGCTTCGCGGACCTCTCCGCGAGCAGCGGCAGCGCTGCCGCTGCTCGCAGAGAGTTGCCGGCATGCCGAGCCTGCGCGCGCTGAGATCAGCGCGCCCAGGCTTCGCGGATCGGAGATTTCCCTATGGGCTTTCGTCTTGCGAAGCAAGCCCATAGGAAATTCGCTTATGAGCGCTCCAAAACGGAAAACCCTTTCGTCTAGCGGGTTTTTCGTCTTGCGAGGCGTTCGTCTTGCGGGGCACCACTGTACAAAGGTATTTATTGGACTTCATTGTTTGCTTCACATCCGAGGCGCGCAGCCCCACGTCTGTTACGCTTAGACCGTTGAAGTCCCCTCTGAGTCAGTCCCTCCACTGCACCAGTTTAAGAGGCTTGCGCTGCTCCACCTCTTCCTCTCTTTCCTTTCCGCAGGGTCTTCCTGACCGCTGGGGTTTCGCCCTCCTGGATTCCCCTGACGCGGAATCCCCAGATTGCTCTTCCCCCTCCTGCGGGCTTTGGGACCTGGCTCCTCCTCCGGGCTCCCTGTACTTCCGCGCGCTCCACATTTAACTTGCGCGCGCGCCCAACCTCTAACCTTCCTTTGACAGTTACACTACTCCTTCACTACTCCCTCCCCTTCCGGGAGGGTGGCTTGCTCCGACCTCCCTCCCTTCTCTGCTGCCGGAGCTACTTCCCCTGATACACTGGAACCTCCACCCCCTTCGCTGCACTCTGGCGGGAGGCTGGTCCTGACGCCCAGCTGCCACTTTGGGATCCCCGCTGGCCCCCTGCTCCTGACACGTCCCTGGCCTTGACCACCGGCGCCCCCGTCTGGGAATCCTCTGATTCGCTGGAAAGACTCATGGAATCTCTTGAGTCATTGTCATCCTCTTCCTCGCTGTCCTGGGATTCATCCCCATCGCTCTCCATCTCCTGCCTACCCTGTGCCTCTGTCCCTGAACCCCTGACACCTACCTTATTAGGTTATTTGGCTAAAACACAGCCCTTGATCTCCTTTGGATGTAAAAGGTAACACCACCCCATCTCCGTTTGGACTCATTGCGCTTCTATTCTTTCCAACTGGCATAGTTCTTTGCTTGCCTTTTGGGCATTTAATCTGTACCCAAATTGCAGGACCCTGCCAAGGTATATACTTCAAACCTCCTTCGAGAGGAATGTCTCCCTAGTTAAGTGGTTCTCAAAGGGTGTGGCAGGAGAGGGAGGCAAGGGTGGCAGGAAGATTCAAATACAATCAAATAAATTTTTAAGCATTTCAGTCTAGTGTAGTATGGGGGGGGAGGGATATACAACCAGAAACAGTATCCACACCTATCTTCAAGAGCATCAGCCATTCTTCTGCAGGTGAAACTCGGAAAATTAGAATATCGTGGAAAAGTTCATTTATTTCAGTAATTCAACTTAAAAGGTGAAACTAATATATGAGATAGACTCATGACATGCAAAGCGAGATATGTCAAGCCTTATAATTGTGATGATCATGGCATACAGCTGATGAAAACCCCAAATTAACCATCTCAGAAAATTAGAATATTAAATGAAATCAGCAAAACAAGGATTGCAAATAGAGAAATATTGGCCCTCTGAGAAGTAGAAGAATGCATACATACTCAGTACTTGGTTTGGGCCCCTTTTGCATCAATTACTGCCTCAATGCGGCGTGGCATGGATGCTATCAGCCTGTGGCACTGCTGAGGTATTATGGGTTTTCATCAGCTGTACGTCATGATCATCACAATTATAACAAATAAATTAAATAAATAAGTAAATTATAACAAATAAAGGCTTGACATATCTTGCTTTGCATGTCATGAGTCTATCTCACATATTAGTTTCACTTTTTCAGTTGAATTACTGAAATAAATGAACTTTTCCACGATATTCTAATTTTCCGAGTTTCACCTGTACAGTTCTCCATGATATCCTGTTGTGAACAGGGATTTTCAACTCTTGACAAATGTGAACAATCAGAAAAGAGAAAGGCTTGTTTGCTGATAAGATGAGTTTGTTTGAGAGCCAGTGTGGTGTAGTGGTTAAGAGCGGTAGACTCGTAATCTGGTGAACCGGGTTCGTGTCTCCACTCCGCCACATGCAGCTGCTGGGTGACCTTGGGCTAGTCACACTTCTCTGAAGTCTCTGAGTGTTTGTTGTGGGGGAGGAAGGGAAAGGAGAATATTAGCTACTTTGAGACTCCTTCGGGTAGTGATAAAGCGGGATATCAAATCCAAAAACTCTCAAATTAGACCTAATACAAATGAGATTACCTGGCAAAAGCAAGCTCACACTTCTCATTGGGTCTGTATACATACTTAAGGTACATATGTAAGAGGCTCATTTATAATTATATTTTGGGAATTATATTTTGGGAATTCTGGATGTCCCATGATCATATTATAAAGTAGTTGTGTTCTGGGTTATAAACCAAGCACTGCTAGGAGTTGCTTCTTTTTGTTTTCCAATGTATTTATCAATTAAAAAAATTGGTGTGACACAAGCTAATTTTTATTCTGAACATGTGGCCCGGAGAAAAATTTTGAGAACCCCTGCCCTCGTTAAGAGACTCCTTTTGGACTTTCCTTATTCAATCACAATGACATATCTGTTTCATCTTACTGTATACTCTCTCCCTCTGAAATTCTTGTCTCCTTCCACTCATTTCTTGCAGGGTTAGGGTTGGAAAGTGAGGGCTTCCTATTGTTTTCCCTTTGCTGAAAAGTGGCTCTTACTATCCATTTGGGCCTGGTGGTGATGCCAGCAGTGCTGATGTGTAGATTCACAGTTGCCTGGTACATGCAGTTTGACGTCCTCTTGCAAGAGTATACCCATAGAGTTTGTTTCAGAGTACAGTGGTACCTCTAGTTGCGGACACGATCCATTCTGGGGTGCCATTCGCACCCTGAAAAGTCTGCAACTAGAGCGGCGCTTCTGTGCAACCATGGAGCGCAAGAGCGCTTCTGTGTATGTGCGAAGCACGCAGAATGCTTTTACGCATGAGCAAAGCATGCAGGATGCTTCTGTGTGCATGCGGCGAAACCCAAAAGTATCCACTTCCGGGTTTGCCGTGTTCGCAAGCCGAAAAGGCGCAACGTGAACCTAACGCAACACAAGGTATGACTGTATTAACTCTTCCTCCTCCTCCTAGATTGATGTCAACTCTCACATTGCTAAGTAAGAGACTGAATTGCTACAAAATCACTCTCGAGTGTCAGCCAAAAAATGTTGCTTTCTATGAAAAATTTGGATATTCAGTATCTGAAGAAAACTACATGTATCAAAGATTCTTCAATTAAAGAACTTCCAGCTGTAATCTCATGTAATGGACCGTTGGTGGAGGACTGTCTCTTTTCTCTTTGTCTCTTTTCTCTTTGTGGAAAACAAATGGCTGCAAATGAAATTAACAACTCCAGAGATGGGACAACAAATGCAGTACAGCAGACTTTGATTTAGGTTTCCTTGCTGACAGGAAACGTTTTAGAAGCCATTTCCTACTGTTAATGCTTTTTGCTAGCTGGGATATGAAAGATTATTGCCAGGTGGGGGTGGAGGTTTTTAACCAAAGGCTATATTTTTACCTGATTCCTTTCTTGCCTTGTATTTTTCTAAGTCTTGTGCTGCTTTGTGTTGCCAATTCAGTGGTGGTTAATGAGGCAGGACTGACTTGCCAGGTTTTTAGTCATGTGGGTAGGAGAAATGCAAGGTCTGTACCAGGCTGTCACTGGTCTTGACGTTGGTACGCCTCAGATCTTCATTGGCCCCAGAAGAGCCCTGATATGACTGATTTGTCGAGCAGCGGCCTGAGCGGTTCTATTAGTCCCCTAGCAGTCACAATTGGTAAAAATTATTGCTTACACAAAGAACCTGCATTTCTAAAATATTGTATTCTTATCTCTTGTAGCTGTGAAAAGACTGTGGGGCCAAGGGGCCCTCTTTTCCAGCATGGGCTATATCACATGTATGCTTTGCAAAAGCAATCTTCTGCCACGCTAACCCACTCAGCAGATGTTCCAGATCCCAAATCCACATCTCAGAGGCTCCCCCATGCTTTGGGGCTTTAGATAAAGCCACGTAGCACTTCTTGCCATGAGCCGCCAATAACGGTACAACTTTCCTCCCACCATTTCAGCTCGAAGGGGGCAGTCTTGGGCATTACAAGCAAATGAAGGGCACTGCAGAAAATTTTTGTAGTCGAGTAAATAGCTTTATAAAATATTACTGAGGGCTACTGTAAGCGGATTTCATGCATTTTGTGGTACTCTAAAAACTTTATTGGGGGGTGACTAAAGTTTATTTATTCAGTTTTTTTAAAAAGCACTGTTAAGACATAAATAAATGAAGGCTGTTAAAATCTTTTGAATTATGGTCTTCCTTCTTCATTGGTCTAGATGTGCTCTAGTTGGCCTGCTGTTTTACTTGGTAATTTGAGAAGTGTTAGTGGAGTTCATCCACATGGGACAATTGAATACTGTTGGATGGAGAACACGTTTGAAGTTAAGTGGACCATAACCTGTGGAGGGGGCTAATCCACAACTTAAAGTTCTAAATGAGATTGCCGATTCCATTGGCCTTTAAACTATAGCCAGGGAAAGGCACGAGAGCCTCCCAGAGCCTGGTAAGCAAGGCGGAAAGCTTAAAAGCACTCTGCCTTTCATAGGGAGCAAGGCCTGCTTGGTGCACCAGCTCCAGAACAGTAGGGGTGGTCTTGCAGGGGCGGTTTTAGGGTTGTTTTGGCTGTACGTAATTTTGGCTTTATGTGCAAGTCCTTAAGCCTCACGTAAATTACGAATCATCTGTATGGGTTTGAAGAACAGAAAGCCAAAAATACTGGCAATATGGCTAGGCGGCTACGTTCAGCAGTAAGGCTGTACACCCGCATTTGCCTGTCAGGAGTCAATTCGTGTGGATTTTCATAAAGCTGGGGGAAATTTATCTTCTTGGAGGCCTTTTCAGGGAAAAGCCAGAAAGGATCAAGAAAAGAGCAGCCATTTAATCTGGAAGAGACCTTGAGTTTGCTCTTACGACTTCATGGTGGCCAAAACAATGATTTCCAATAGCTACTAAAACTTGTTTCCTTTTGCCTCAAGCCTTGGGAAATGAAACAAATACAACCCATAGTGAATTTTAGGAAGTTGTTTCTTTTCATTCTTTTCCTTTTTTTACTAAAGACTCTTGTTATAAATTACACAAATAACTTTATAAACAAATCATTCCCCCCACGTTTTGTTTAAGTAATAACTTTATCAATACAAATAAAGAAATTTCAAGTATGAAAAGTGCATTATTGCAATAATACCTCTTTGCAAGTCCAAAGTCTTGGTTTAGGGTAAAACTATAAAGTGTAAAAAAAGGAGCAAAACAATCAGTGCCATCTAGTCAGTCAAGGAATCCAATACCCTTAACCGTGTTGCCTGGTGTGCTACTGGAGGGGCAGGTTTGCATAAGGAAGTTGGACTCATCTCCCATTTTATATATATAAAAAATAGATCTGGTTGTTCATCTTGCTGACGTTAGCAGCTGCCATGAATAGAAATTTCCAGCCAGCAAGTCCAGAGTGCTGCCCTTGGTGTCAACCGTTCTGAGCTGCGGCTTGCATATTGCTGATTTCCTCATCCTCTTCATGGGTTCGTTTCAGACTTCCTGCAAAACAGGTGGGGCAGGTGGAGAAGGTGGCTAAGAGGACAGAAACAAGCTTTCCAAAATGGTTTGAGTGGAACCAGACCTGTTCTACAAAACATTTTCATTTTGCTGCACAATGCCAATTAGAAGCCAATTTTTCTATCCATGTTTTGCCCATTTTAAGCATCCAAAAATAGTTAACAGCCAGTCTTCCTGTGCTTCTCTTCCTACTTCTTAACTCAAGACAACAAGAAGTTCAAATATGAACCAGGTTGGTTTCTATCAGTAATCCATCAGCTTTGAGTAGCTTCTCGTGGTAGTTTTCATACTCTGGATGTAGGTGTGGGGAACCTTTTCGATTCCACAGGCCAGAACCTCACCATAAATGGACTAGGGGGGCACATTTGACAGGTGGGCGCAGCTGCATGCTTGTCAATCACAGGACATCAAGAAGTTGGTAATTTGACCTTGAAAGTTGCTGCTAAAACAATGTCCCCCCCCCTTCATTTTAGCAGGGCGTTTTGATGCATACACCTTCCTAATTAGGGAGGGGTTTGTATTGGGGGCAAGTGAAGGGGAGAAATGCATGTACATGAAGAAGGGTAGACGATGTCCATACCGCCAGTACTACTATTTTATTCTGGGTAGAGGTAGCAGTTAGCAAGGGATTGCATGCAAATCTGACTCAGGAAGGAGGCTGCTTGGAATTCCCTGCTGAAATGAAGGTTTCCCCCTTTGTTTTAGAGGGGATTACAATGCAAATCTTTGAGAAAGCAGGCTTGGCAGTGACTGCTCTGGAAATGTGCCCCTTGGGCTGAAGATGTTTCCCCGCCCCTGCTACACAGAAAGATATGCTCACCCGTACTGACAGACAGTGATTGCTCCAGCTGCCGAGGAGACATCATCTGGATAGTTAACTTTGCTAGATAGATGGCTTCATATTCCTAAAAAATAAAATAAAAAATGAAGCAGCAGCAGAATGACTGGATTGGCACAAATGGGCAAGAATTCACCTGACATTGGGATCCTGGGATAAAAAGAACGGGAGGGCAGCTAAAGGAACATAAATGTTTACAGCCATGAAGGCTGGAATATTGCAAGAAACTGAGATGAGGGAGGAGAAAGAGTGGTTCTGGATAAAAGTAACTGCTTCTATTTGGCTGACCGGAGCAATTCCAGAAAGCCACACCCACTGTTTAGGGGCAGGCACCAGTGAGCTACTCAAGAGTCAACATGGACCAGTACTACACCTGGTCTACCAGAGCAGAGGAGAAATGGGGCATCTGAGAGAATTTTGGACACTGTGGCTCAAAGAGATTTTATGCCACCAGCCTGAAGTTCAGCCATGTAAGGCACAGAGACCCCTGCTGTTGAGACCTACTGCTCTACACCGGCCACGTGGTTATCAACATAAAGCTGATAAGTTGTTTATTAAATATATTTAATGTTAGGTATCTTATGCTTCTGTTTTACATATTTTACATTTGTTAGAATTGCTCACATCTTCAGTACAAAGCAAACAAAATGATAGAAAAGGCCAAATACCGGTAATGTACCAATTAACACCCCAAACAGCCAGGCAAGATATAATGAAGTTTTTCATTTAAGCCAATGCATATCAGATACTTGGGGAGGCCGGGCCAGACCATCAGTACGAATATCATATTTCTACATCATCAACAGGTAGGAAAACAACTTACCTGAAGTTGATGAACAAATCCAGCATTGGGATTAATACAAAACCTTCTTTCTTGCACGTATGTAAATGCATCCCTACAAGAAAGAGATTCTCCATTTTCATCTTTAATACCACTTTGCATTTGGTTTCTGACTCATTCTTTTGGTATTTACTTTCAGTTTAGCTACGCCTGTATTTTGCCTTCAAAAAGTTTGAAATGACATACAAGGGCTCCCATTCAGGAATTAGTCATGCCCAGACCTGCTTAACTCCATAAAGGCTTACAGCCAACAACAACTGGGTCCAGTTAGTTACTTAAACAGATTTTCCTTATAGAAGATGCTGAGAACTGACCCTGCTGTTACATGTGAAATTTATGTTATAAGCATTAAACACTGAACAGGGGGCCAACTCAATGGGAACATCTGTTGTGCGAGGCCTGATGAAGTGAAGAGGCCAAGTGAAACTCAAACCTCACCCCACTCATCATCTTCATCCTCACAACAGTCCCATGTTGAGTGCCACTCCTATTTCACAGATGGGGAATTGAAGCTGAGAATACAATGATCCCCAGGCAGAAGTAGGACTTAAATCCAGGGACCCTGGCTAAATGTTCCATTCACTGGACCAAGACAGAGTTATTGTGCATAAGCTCACTTGCTTGGGACCCATCACACAAACCTCATCTATCTCAGGCTTAAAGTACTCTATTAAAACATAAAACAAATGACCCACATAGCCAATCTTTATCCCCAAGAGTCCATTACCCCTAAGAAATTCTCACTGCATCTCCATCCTTTGTAATAAGGCCATCACTGGGGCTCCCTCTTCACTGGGATCAGAATTCTCTACAGATGTTTCAACCCCAGAATTCCCTTGCCCTACAGCATATCCAAGACCTGTTTTGTCTCTGGCTGTCATTCCAAAGTCAGATGTACTGCAAGCACTGCACTCTATGTCAGCTGAGGTGGCGATGGAGGAATAACAACTCATGAGCATACTGGAGGCAATCAGTATTGGAGGCAAGTTCTGTGCAGAGGGAATGTGCACACCTTTCACAAAAAGATCTTGGTCTTTTTGCTGGGAGAGGTCACAGCACCAGTAGCAACTGTTACAACCACCACCATCACAAAGGCTGAGAAAGGGGAGAGAGAAGGGGCAACTTGGTCTGGCACTGAAAGAACACAGCAGGCACATAGGCCTGTACAGTGGTACCTCGGGTTACAGACGCTTCAGGTTACAGATGCTTCAGGTTACAGACTCCGCTAACCCAGAAATAGTACCTCGGGTTAAGAACTTTGCTTCAGGATGAGAACAGAAATTGTGCGGCAGCGGCAGCAGCAGGAGGCCCCATTAGCTAAAGTGGTGCTTCAGGTTAAGAACAGTTTCAGGTTAAGAACGGACCTCCGGAATGAATTAAGTACTTAACCAGAGGTACCACTGTATTGCCAACTTCAGTCTGCAATATTTTAGGGCAGTTTTTCTTTTGAAAAAGTTGCGTAATATCGAAACACTTAGGTGATCAAGTTGTACAACTGTTTTTAATCCCTTCTTGTTGTAAAGCGGGGTCTCACTCAGCTAGTCACTAGACATGGAGAGCTGCATTAACAACAAACTACAACTAGATGGCCCTCGTGGTCCCTTCCAATTCTACAGTAGAATCACTCAAGATTCCCATTTTGGCCATGTCATGACTCAGCGGTTGAAGACCAATATTCTCTCCAGGGAATGGAAAGCAGTTTAAAATCACTTCTGTACCTGTACTTCACTCCAAATGTTTCCATAATATATGCAATAACTAAGGCAGCACTGAAAAACAGAAAACAAACCAACAAAAACAAGTTAAGATATGTCAGCCATGCCTGGGGATATTTTTAAAAATAAGCGAGCCTTGTTACCTTCTAGAAATCCCCGCGTTCCCATGGACAAGAACTTTTCCTGAGAATGAAAAGAATTGCTTTACACAAACCAGCCAGAGGTTTTACAGGCATTTTGTATTATTTGTACTATTTAGTTTATATCCCACCATTCAGTCCTCAACAAGATCCAAACACGTAACGTCCAGTGGGCTCTTCTTATATTAAAATTAATTTAAATCATTAGCATAGCCAAACACAGTCAGTAGCAAAATCAGCATAAACACCTTAAAACACATATGAGCAGGAAGCAGAGTTCGAGCCTCAGGAACTTTATGTCCTTCTGCATTACCTGCTATGTGGTATGTACCCCAATGAGCCTCCAAGAAATCTGGCCAGTAAGGCTTAACTAGATCGCACCAACTATCACTACACATCTTATAGCATTCCCAAGAGGGACTGTATCCCAGTCCATTACCAAGTACATCCACCCCATCTGTATTTAGGTAAAGGTAAAGGGACCCCTGACCATTAGGTCCAGTCGTGAAAGACTCTGGGGTTGCGGTGCTCATCTCGCTTTATTGGCCGAGGGAGCATGCGTACAGCTTCCGGGTCATGTGGCCAGCATGACTAAGCTGCTTCTGGCAAACCAGAGCAGCGCACGGAAACACAGTTTACCTTCCCGCCGGAGCGGTACCTATTTATCTACTTGCACTTTGACATGCTTTCGAACTGCTAGGTTGGCAGGAGCTGGGACCGAACAACGGGAGCTCACCCCGTTGCGGGGATTCGAACCGCTGACCTTCTGATCAGCAAGTCCTAGGCTCTGTGGTTTAACCCACAGCGCCACCCGTGTCCCTTCATCTGTATTTACATGTAGCTAAAAAAGCAACACATTTGTATCAAGCATCTTAGGCAAGCAAAGTGAGTATACGTACCTCCGGTTTGTAAACTCCCATCAATAAATGCCTTAGTCTAAAGAAAAACATAACAGACACAGATTCCGTTCCAATTACCGCCATCTCAAAGAGTTCTTAACACAAATGCAGCCTATTTGTGTGTTCTAGAGTATCATGCACTCGAGGAAATTGTAAATAACTTGGGCCCCAAAAGATTTATAATATGAGGACTTAAAACATTGATCATAATCATATTTATATTGTATTCTTGCTAATAGAACGCCAATACAAAAAATACTACACTTTATCAAAAATGCTTAAATGCACCTGCTTTTAAAAAGCACCCTAAAAACACCTGCTGCTTTCAAGTTGCTTTACATTGATAGCAGCAGATGAAATGGTTTAAAACTACTTCCTCAGAATCCAGTGTACAGCAACTCAAAGGCCCTGAAAGGTGCAACTAGATTCCCACATGTGGTGTTTGTAGCCCTAGTTATATTTATATTTTGCCATGGACATCAACATTCTCACAGCAACACTTCCAAGCAGAAAGATGTGTTTTGTAACTCATGGATGTATGCAATCAAGGCATATCCTGCCAGGCCAGAAAAATAGTGTGAAGATTTAATCTGCTCATAAAATGTTGACAGCACTTGGGTTACAGGCGACCAGTGATGTTTATCTACCCCAAAACCTAAACCATGACTTTAGCTACTGCATTTCTTTTAAATTCTGATTACTGTTTATCATTTTTATTGTGGATAGTATTACAGGCAACTCCCTGTTTGTGCAGGGATTGCGTTCCAGTCATGGCACACCCAGCCCCCAACCCCATTCTGCCCCCTTCCAGGGCCAAAAACGGCACTCACGTTGGCAGTCACACACAAACGAACACGTGGAAAATTATCACTGCCCATATTTCTGCTGTTAGCCTCCCTGGGCACTTTTAGTGGAAAAGCAGAATAAAAACATGTAAAATAAACAACTTTTTCAGTGCTCAGTTTTATGGCAAGAATTAACACCCAAGATTCATTAAAAAGTTTTTAAAGTGACATGGCAATTTAACAGGGCAGAACGGAAGTGGGGGGGGGGCTCCTAACATAATTATTGTTAAGATGTTGTGGGGGTGGGACAGCAGAATGGAGAGCTCATCATTTTTATTAAGGTTTTTAGTGTTCCTTGTCTTGAAGCAGCAGCAAGGGGGCCTAGAAATATGGCTCTCCCCAGCTGCTTCTTGAAACTCCCTAGCCAGCTTGGCCTGGCACAAGTATTCAGACATCCACACAGCCATTTCAAGAGGCCCCCTCCATTACCAGCAGTTCACAAGAAGTCAATGGAGTGCACTTTCAGCAGATGCCTGCCATGGACAATGGCCATCCAAGGGGCAGGAGAGAACAAAGTGCACAAAGTAAAAAGACAGATGCTGAGAAAGCAACTCAGATATCTTGCACAGAGTGAATAGCAAGCAGACACAGCCATTTTTGAGCTGAGAATTGCATTCTGCGACCTGTCCCCCTTAATATCTGATATGACAGTTACCATGGGTACAATTCATTGGGAAGTTTCTCCGGCATGCTAAAATGAAAGGGAATCCTGCAAAAGCACTTTTATGCAGGAGAACTTCCCAGAGGGCTGTACCCATGGCAACCAGCAATACTACCAGTCAGGGGCTTATCCACAAGACCATTAAATTAGGTGGACATTGCAGGAAGAATTATTTATCAATTTAGCTGAACTGCTTCAGAGGTGGATTGTTTCTTCCTTTTTCACTTGCACATTGGGCTGCATTTGCTCACATGATTTCTGAAAGATATTAGGATGAAAGAGTTTAACTCACAAGTCATGCTAAACACTTACCGTCGGGAAAAATCTGATTATATTTTCAATGGGATGATCTGCAATATCCAAGACTAAATACCTACAATTAAAGTAAGTGTGTTAAGTACACAACCAGAATCGCTCATCTTCTAAAACATTAACACCCAGTCTGAAAAATGTTTCTTTTATCATTTGAAGCGGATATAAATATAATATATATTATATAATATAAATATAAAAGTTAAAAGGTCCAACATATTGTTCTGTAGTGGAATGTACGATAGCCAAATGACCCCTTCTCTGTTGTTGCAAAATTCCCTCATGAAACCCATGAGGCAAGACTTCAGGGGAATTTCAGGAGAAAAACTACTAGCAGAGTAAGGTTCTATCTTCCTTTCTCTTCACTGCTGCAAAACAGCTCTTAAGACTGATCTGCATTCCAGGGCAAGCAGGGCTGGGAAAGACTATCTGAAAGCATGGGAGAGCCACTGCCAGTCAAAGCAGAAAATACTGATCTAGATTATCATTAAGACAGCTTTCTGTGGGTTGTATCCAACTGTCATTCTTGCCCCGTCAGTGGAAAAAGGGGGCAAGAATTTCTCAATGATTTCTCGCCCCCTCTGCAGCACCCTGCTCCTAAACCTGCTCCAGAAGGCTGGGGGACTCTCCAGAACAGTTCTGGTGGCGCATGGAGGGCTGCGGAGGGGAAAGGGAATAGCTGAAAATTGCTTCCTTCTTCATTTCACTGAGGGAAGTCATACTGCCAGCTGAGCAACCCTTGTTGGGCTATCGCCACATGCAGCTGTGGTGTAACATGTACAGTGGTACCTCAGGTTACATATGCTTCAGGTTACATACGCTTCAGGTTACAGACTCTGCTAACCCAGAAATAGTGATTCAGGTTAAGAACTTTGCTTCAGGATGAGAACAGAAATCGTGTTCCAGCGGCGCGGCAGCAGCAGGAGGCCCCTTTAGCTAAAGTGGTGCTTCAGGTTAAGAACAGTTTCAGATTAAGAACAGACCTCCGGAACGAATTAAGTACTTAACCCAAGATACCACTGTAGTTTGGTCCTTAGGCTTCCTGTCTTTGAACACCAGTTTTGGTCAAGTTCAACAGGAATCACTTTCAGCCATATTTGAAAAGAATACAGTGCAACTGTGGGAAGGACTATGTCAGGGATAAGGAACCTCAGGTTTGGGGGCCGAATGTGTACCCCAACCTCTCTATCTGGCCCTTGGAATACCCCAGCCACACCCCTCGCTGTCCCTGCTTCCTACCCAAAGCATTTTGCCTTGTCCTTAAAGCAATCTCATTCCTCACAGGAAGTCATAAAGAAGTTCTTGCACCTGTCTTTCTGACATTCACGCTATGCAATATACCTGCCAACTATTGTGATCCACTGAAACGTTTAAGCATTACCTGCAATCTTGCTTTGCAGTGTAAAGACTGAAAACTACACTAGCACAACAAGCACACATTGAACATGACGTATTTTCACAACATTGATTTACAGGTTTCTTACCTAAATAACTGCTGGAAGTTTGGTTTAATAAAGTTTGCTTCAATATTTTGTCGTATGCATATTACATGGGTAATTCCATGTTTCTGAAGTATAGGTAGCTGCAAAATGAATGTTTGAAAAAGTGAAAGCTCCTTTAAACTAGCATACAAACAAGAGTAATAATATTGCATGATAGCTGATAGCTTTATTAAGACATTTTATTAAGACAATATATTTAGATATTTAAAATGTTCAGTAAGACCATGATAGCTTAAAATCAAACACACACAACAAATTCATTTTTGTGGCCAGTGCAAAACAAGCCGGAAGCCTGCAAAGTTACTGTGTGGCTTTGTTTTAAAAAGGTGACTTTGTTTAAAGCTGACAAAAACTCAGAAGGAATTTCCTTTCCACATTCATTTGAACCTTTCAAAATAGGCTGGACAAGCTTCTGGTCGTTTTGAGTTGGCACAAAGGTGCAGCTCATCAATAAACAGTGTAATTCTATTCAAAGACAGAAAGTGTGCATTTTGCAGTTTGTTTATTTAAAACACCTTTCTCTGTCTTTCCTCAAGCAGAGTCCAAATAGCAAACAGTAGAAAATTAAAATGCTACGGGGGGAAATTCACACATGACAATCAAGGAGAAGGAATTTATATTGGTTTACATGTATCAATAATTGTGTATTAATGTAACATTTTTATATGTAACTGTATTTTTGTAAAATTTGTTGTTGTTGTTCAAGTTATTGTGGTTGTTATTGAATTTATATACCGCCCTATACCCGCAGGTCTAAGGGCAGTTTACAAAATAAAATCAGAATATAAAACCACAAAATACAGAATCAAAATGAAAACAACAACCCAATAACACCCCCAAACAACCACCACCACACATTAGTGGCATAGTGGTCTACTGCAGCTTTAGGGATTTTTTAAATACCGCTTAAGTTTTTTATATTGTAAGTGGCACAGAAATGGACAGGAAGAGGGTGATCAGGAAGAGTGGGGGATATTGAAACCAGTTCCTTCTCATGGCCAGATCACTTCCTGCTGAGATTAAGCTTTCAGCACTTTTTCTCCTCTGCAGAGGCAGGGGATCTATTAAGATAGTCTGCCCTAGGAGGCTGATGGATCCAAAGGATTTCCAGATAGCTGATATGATTGGCGTTCCTGTCAAAGCCCTAGATGGCCTCTGGAACACCCAAAGGGCTTGGGCTGTTGACACGATCACCCTGAGTGCCTTTTCCCTCTTCATTACGCCCATTTGGCTCCCCAGAGTACTCCAAAGCTTAGGCTAAGGAAACAAATTGGGGCACTGCTCAAACACGAGTGGAGGAAAATTCCAGTAAAATGCAATCGAACAATGGGCCTACCCAGCAGCAGTGAAGGCAGCTAAGAAAGTATGCTCTGCAGTCTCCATTGTATCCTGAGACATTCGGCAGAGCTTTTCCGGGTAGTGCAGGGCCTTTTAGTCTGGCCCAAAGGAGGTGACAGAACTGACGGCAGCTTACTGTGACTTGTTTGCAAAGCATTTTGAGGATCATAAAATCATTTGCATCCACACCGGGACCGCGACTCCACGTACAGCAGATGAACCTTGAGAGGTATCAGAGCACCGTCTAGCTCTGTTATGCTAGATGAGTTTTAGTTAGTAAGGACCGATGATGTGGACAAGGTGCTTAGATTGGTCAGGGCAACCATTTGCGCTCTAGACACGCAGAGCTGACACGCAGGGAAGAAACCTCCTTGCATGTCAGTTCTGCTGGCTCTTTGGGACCTCTTTGGGCTTTGGGGTGGGTCTCCTCTTTGAACCACTAGGACTCTCCAGTGTGCTTCCCATTATATACAATTTTGGGTATGCGTGCAGGGGCCTGGAACCACCGTCTAATCTGGGAGTCCCTTGTACTACTAGTACAAGGTCTGTTCAAGATTAGTTCCTGTACCATTTTTTCCTAGAAAAAAGCAGTGACCAGCATTAAAATATTCTAGAAAGACACACCTACCTTGCTTTTCATAGCTGAAGAATATGGGCCCAGGAACAACCCAGGTAAAATTTCCTTTAAAAAAAGGAGAGAGAAAGAGAGGAATGAAAATTCAATATACCTCAGTAATCTGGTAGAAGCTACACAAGACCAACACTAGCAGGAGAGTTTAATTACACTAGCATTAACCGGATGCATATATGGGATCTGGAAAGAGCTCTGTGGTTTTACCTGAGAAATGGGTACTTTTTTCCAGTATTGCTGGCACTGGGGCTACGAGGGAATCTTGCACAACAGAAACATAGGAGGTGAGAAAATCCCCAACCACCCACTAAGTTTGCAAAGGACAATGACAGAGAGAAAACCACAAGCACACGTCTTGGTATTGACTAACAGAATTCAGGCACAGTATAATGAGAAAGGCATTTATTTTTTGATGATAAATGACTTGGTATATTCTGCCTGAGAAACAGAGCAGAGGGGGAGAGAAACATGAACAAGTTTGAGGTGACAGAGAGGTGGAGAGAAAAATCTAAGCAGCAGGGAGCTGCCTGCCGCCAAGGTAATAATATCCCAGAATAAGATTCCAGGAACTGTCTTGCCTCACTGAAGCTGCAACTCAAGCTTCCCTCCCCCACCAGCTCCTTCTAGACTAGAATGTTTCTCTTGCCTGTAATCCTCAAAGGCTTCTCAAAGCCTTCAAAGGTTTGAATGTAACAGGACTGAGATAAATGTACCTCACTGACAGTATAGTTGCTCTATGCTAAATGCAGAAGAAAAGGATGTGCGATCTTACACATAGGCTAACATACCACCCCACTTTTTCATTGCATAGCTTCCTCCTCATCTGAATACTACCTTACCATCACTCTGAACTAGATAGCCTACAACCAAGATTCTCCAATACCCACTATGTGGCTTGCTTACTTGAGCCATTTGGACTGTTTTACTTAACTATTTCTCAAGGTTCCTGCAATACAAGAGGTGTACTCTCTTTTCTGGGAGGGCTTCTGGCTGCTTAACATGAAAATCCAACAAGCAAACCACAATTCACTGCATCTCAATGCTAGAAAGAGCTTTTCCTGCCAAATTTTTGCATGCCATGCAAACCACTCCTTGTGAACAAAGCCTACATCTACAAGAAATCATGAGGGCTTCCCCTCTCTATCCAGAAAAAAGACTTAGAATTTAGGAAGTTTCCTATGCAAACTGCAAGCTTAGGAGGGAGTTGCAATAGCCTATTAACATTTTAATTTTACTTTGCCGAGGCATCTGCCAATCCAGGCAAATTCACTTTATTTCTCCCTTCACTAAATATGACCAGTACTTAGCAACCTACAGAATTGTTGTCTTACTCTTAAATTTAGGAACAAATTCAGTGAGTGTTACAGCATGAGCATCAGCTTTCCCCACTGTCCACAGACCAGGAGAGAAACAGCAACTTCCAAACAAAGAAATAGTGGCCCCTGCAGGCTCCTGGAACATGTGGAGAGGGGAATGAGTGACAGATTTGTGCAGAGAGCAGCCAACTGGCCAGGAGCAAAGATAGCAGAGACAACCATTTTTGGAAGGAAGGTTAGGGTTGGGAATTGCCCACAAGGCCCAAAAAGACAGCGAGGAAAGGGAAGGTCACAGATCTGGGGACCTTGAGTAGGTCTCTCTCAACTGGACATTAATGCAAGACAATGCCTAGATGAATGAGAGAAACTGGGTGTGAGTCTAGGGCAAAAAAAGGAAGGTAACAAATTTCTTGGTAGCCCAAAACTGCACTTCGAATTACAACTATCCCTGTGTGTTAGTCCTGTCATTCCAAGTCTTCTCTTGGGTGTTTCCAGAGCAATCGTCCCCAGTGTACCTCTGCAGCACACCTAAGTGTCTCAGGGCATATGGTTTTGCTAAATCCTAGCAGCACCACCACCACCACCACCGAGTATCTAATGAACCATTAGCTAGCTTTGATTAAAAGAAACAGCCATACCTGCATCTCTCTTCTCATTGGATATGTCCAGTCCTAGAGAGAGAGAAAAAAATGCAGTGTTCACTTAACAATAATTTTCAGTATTGCCCTTAAGAGAACCAACTGTTTTTCAAGGAAAATCTGGTAGATGCAATGTTTTTAAGTCTTTGAACTGGGTGGAAAAGATACACACATATATAACATGATCTAAGTTACATCTTATTCAACATGTTAAATTGTGTATATTTCTCATTAACATAATTACAGTTTGAATAGTGAATGATGAATTATAGCTTCAATCACATAACTAGCAGAAACTTCACAGACTGTCAACAAAAAGGAGTCTTGCAAATTACAACTTTTATATAGGCAAAGCAAAAGAATACACATTTATTCAGTTAGTAAGTACCGTAGTTAAATTCCAGATCCTGAATAGACATGTTTTTCAGACATCAAACAGACTTTTACTTCATCATTAAAAAGGCCTTCTGAGATTCAACAGAACATTTAAGTGTGCTTGGAATCAAAAGACTACCCAGAGTGGAAGTTTTGTAATGTCAAGGGTGCTCACAAAAAGCATATCTAAGAGTTGTTAGAAATGACAAGAGCAGCAGCAAGAATTTTTATCAAGTGCTGATTTTTGTCTGTTGGAATCAACATTCTTAACTCTCCTCCCCAAGGATGTGCTCCACAGGGAGCTCTCGGCCTGTTGGCAGACCAACTCTGCATTACAAAGATGTCTGCAAACATGACATGAAGACTGGCAACATTAACTCCACTGTCCGCAGCAGAGCACAGAGAGACACAGCAAAACCAGAACCTTCATCTGCCCCAGCTGCAACATGTCTGTCCCCTATAGGTCTCTGCAGCCACATCAGGCGCTGCAGTCTTCCAACAGCTTGACTTCACCCCCAAATGGACACTCTTCCACTGTCTAGAGACAGACAGCTGCCAACAATTCCAGCAAGGCTCTGGCATAACATTGACAGCTCCTTTTGGAGTGGTAGAGAAGCAGGAAACATGCAGAATGAACTGCTAGACTTATTTAACTCCTCTGCATTAGTTTTTACCTATTTGCATTTTGAAAGGTATACTTTCGTGCCAAATAAAAGCTGGTTTGATCCTAGATATTTGGCAACCTGCTTTTTATAGAATATTTACAAATCTAGAAAGTGTTGAATGAACAACAGTTAAGTGCAAATGGTCAGCTGTTGGTTTCATATTAAAATATGAACATATCTTGCTAAAAACTGATTTAGAAGCACATGCATTAAATATTACTCATACTGTTGCTACAAATTCACTATTTCTGATCTGTTCCTACCAATGAGCTTTCACAGAATTCTGGCATTTGCTATGATTATGTATTTTAAAGGAGAATTACAGTTAAATGCATATCATGCAAATTCCAATTACTGCTCTTTGTTTACATATTTATTAAATATTTCAACAGGCTATGGTGTCTTAGAGAATTTAATGTGGACAATCACAACAGGTTTGCAATCTAACAATTGGATAAGCTGCACTATTCGATTTGAACAAATACTAGTTTTTATCTGTCACTCCAAAATGATATTTTTAGGTTTTAATAAAGTTCTGCTTATCTCATGCCTTTGAAATGGAGTTGGTTCCATTTTGAAAAATCTAAACTTCATAAAACCTGCCCAGATATATGCCTCACACAGTATAGGCATGTGGTCTTGTCAGATTCTCTCTAAGAGTATCTGCAAGTCAGCATCTGACCATGGTTCAGATGTGATGTGGTCAAAATGAATGACTCTGTATCCCAACAATATGACAGTAATGATGCATTATAAGCACTGTAAATTGGAAGGAATGGAGGACTTATAATTTTACCTCCTCTATTTATGAGCTCCAGGGTACATTGCTGTGTCTGGACCTTCAAAGAGCAACAGTGGCTTAGAACATTTTTTCTCCAGCACCTCCAGATGAGAAGATTGCTAGGCTTTTTCCCCCAGACTAAGATGTACCAACTGCTATTCATGATTTAAAACCTCAAGACTTGGTTATTGCAACATGCTCAGCATAGGCCTGTAGCTGACTGTAGCTGATGCAGAACTAAAAAGGATGAATAGCCAATAAAATCAGTAAACCTGCATCTATTTTAAAGCTTTCCACAATTTAATGTACTGGGTTTTAAAACAGGATTTAAAAGGTTGGGCTATAGTTTAATCAGTCTTAGAAACTCAATATTAGCTAGGCACCAAATAGCTCCTTAAACCAGGGTTATAGACACCAAAACGGAATGTCAAGTTGCCATTTTTGGGCCAGATGGCTTTTTGGTTCCTGAAATTTGTTCTGATTATGTAGGTAAAATATCAAGGATAGAATTCTACAGGGTGTGGCATTAGTGTGTGAAAACAGTCAAGATCCCATGATCCCCAGGCATGCATCTCCAGATGATGGAGATGTCAGGCACCATCCTGGCACCCAGGCAGCTTCACTTGGTCGCAAGTGGCCAACAGTCAGGCGCAAAATGCGCCTGGCGAATTTGGAACACTGATTTTAATTTCTGTTTTTCTTTTGTCCCCTCACAAGATATGTCGGCTGAGGAGAAACTCCTGCATGGAACTGCCCCTCCATGAAGCAGGCTGGCCAGCAAGGGCATGAAGGACAGCATTTTCTGTGTGCCCCCCCCCCATAATTTTTAAAAGTACCAGTACTTTAATACATCACACAGCTGACAGAGTTGGGGCAATGGGGAAAACCTTACATTCCTTACAATGCACAATTATTGCTAAACAGGGATGGTAAATCAAACAGCAGTTAAGATCATTCTGGATTCTGAAAGGAAATGGGAGAGTCTAAAAATAGAAATGAAGTACAGCATGATTGTTTGCGCATAGGGGTGTGTGAAACAGTAGGAAGCACCAAGTGGGGCTGTACATGAGAAAAAGTTTAAGACCACCACTTAGGATTTATTATATCTTAATTTTATTGTCTGCTGTTTTATTGCAGGTGGGCATTTTACTGCCCTGCAACTTGCTTTTGGTGTAATATATAAGGTGAGGAAAAAAGAGAATTAATAAATCTATGAGCCGACAAACACAAGTAGGAATGAGCAAAGGTACACACCACTGGGTAAGGTTTCTCAATAAACCTTTGTCAGGTAGAAGCAGCTAAACAGGAGAGAATGAGACGGATGCTGGCAGTGACAAAACCCTGGAATTCTGTAGGGTGAAGGACTGAATAACATGGACCTTCAAAAACCTGCTGGATGGGACTATGGGCACATCTAGTCCAGGATTCTACTCTCAGAGGACGACTAGATGCCTCTGGGAGGCCTGCCAGCAGGATATGAATGCAACATGAGCACAGCAACTGCCTCTAGTAATGCACAGCTATCATAGAATAATAGAATCGTTGAGTTGTAAGGGATCCCAAGGGTAGTTCAACCCCCTGCAATACAGGAATGACAACCAAACATTCCTTGAGAGATGGCCATCCAACCCCTATTTGAAAACTTCAAATGAAATAGAGTTCACCACTTTCTGAGGGAGCCCTTTCCACTGCTGAACAGCTCTTGCCATCAGAAAGTGCTTCTTAATGTATAGTTGGCTTTCCCTTTCTTGTAATTTGAATCCATTTGTTCAAGTCCCCCACCCCCAGGCAGCAGAAAACAAGCCTGCTCCATCTTCCACGTGACAGTCCTTCAGATATTTGAAGATGGCTCTCATATCTCCTCTCAGTCTCCTCTTTTCCAGACTAAACATCCCCATCTCCTTCAAGCACTCCTCGTAAGGCTTGGTTTCCAGACCCTTGCTCATCTTGGTTGTCCTCCTCTGCACACATTCCAGCTTGTCAATATCCTCATTAAACTATGGTGCCCAGAACTGGACACAGCACTCCAGGTGGGTTCTGACCAAGGCAGAATAGGGTGGTGCTATTTCTTTCCTTGATCTGGACACTACTTCTGTCAGTGCAGGCTAGAATTGCATGTGTTTTTTGCTGTTGCATTGTACTGATTCATGAAAAGTAGCCATTGATAATCATACCCTCCATGAATTTGTCTAAACCAGTTTTAAAGCAAACCATCATTGATGGCCATCACTGCGTCTTATTGTTGTGACTTCTGCAACTGAATATGCACTGGGTGAAGTACTTCTTTTTACCTGTCCTGAATATTGAACATTTAGCTTTGCAGAATGATCCTTGTTTTTGGCACTGAGTATAAAAACTTTTCTCTATCCAATTTTACTATACCATGCATAATTTTTTAGCCCTCTTATGCGCCTTTTCTCTAAATTAAAAAGCCTTAAATGTCACAACTTTTCCACATAGGAGAGTTGCTGCCGCCACTTGATATTTGGGTTGCCCTTTTCCAGTTTTTCCAGTGCCACAATGGCCTTTCTGAGGTGAGGCAAACAGATTTGTGTAAGGGCTTTTTGTTATGGGCAACCTTATTTCCCAAGGATACCTAACATGGACATCTCCTTTTACACATACCGGGTTTACCTTTTCATCTAACCATCTTGCATGACCCCAATACCTCTTTCCTGGTCACTTCAAGCCCTGACCCACAACCAGTATTATAGGGTGGAAGAAAGAGAACATCACTCTTTAAGCGGTGTTGCTGTATTCTCCCGTTTTTTGTAGTAAACGGATGCTGAGTCAAATGCGCCCATGTAGTGTGAAGAGTCACACACACCCATTCAGGGCAGAATGGAAAAAGGAGATGAGTTGTGGGACTTCCCAAAAGAAGCTGCAGGCTACAAAATGTTAACCACTCCCCCCTCCAAACACACACCCCAGCACTGCCACAATGGTGTGGCAGAAAAATTATGCCAGGTCTAATAGGGTAAAGAGAGAACATATAAAACACACACACACACATTCACACGTATGAACACGGGGCGCTGGGTGAACCACAACGCGACACGCCCCAACCGAGAAAGGTGTCTCCCCCAATTCACACACCCCCCAAAACGGGAGGAGGGTGGGGGGCGGGAACCCTTGAAGACCCACAAGGGTCCAAACACCCAAGGGTGGGAGGAGGCCATTATCAAGCCCCCCCCCCGTCGTTGCAAGCGGGGCACCTGCGCGACCCCCCCCTTCCCACGATGCGTGTGTCTTTTGTGTGTGTGTGTAAGTAGTAGAGGACAGACAGCACAGCCCGCCTAGTGACCGATTCCAGCCATTGAGATGCTGAGGCGTCGGAAGGGGGGAGAGGAGGAGGGGAGGAAAAGGCGGGCAGGGGGAGAGGAGGGGGGAGAAGAAGACCCTCGCCGCCGCCCCCCCCCCCCAGCTCACCTCAGAGTCCTCTTTGGGCTGCGGCAGCGCGGGGAAGACCGGCTTGGCGAGCTCCATGGCCGGGGGGGGGGTGTCTCTGGTCTCCCCCTCGTGCCTCTCCCTCCCTCCCTCCCTCAGGCGCTCTCCTTCCCCTCAGGCGGTCAGTGGGGCAGGAGCAGGACGTCGTCGTCGTCGTGGTGGGCGGCGGGCCTCGGCGCTCGGGAGGCGGCCAGGGCGGCGGCGGGGAAGCGAGAAGGCGAGGTAGGAGAGAGAAGCAGCAGCGGCGGCGGGAGCGGCGGCGGCGGCGGCGGCTCGCGCCCAGCCGCCATGCCGCTGGCTGGGCTTGGTCGGCGGCCCCTCCTCCTCCTCCTCCTCGGTCGGTCGGTCGGTCGGTCTGAGGGAAGGCCGGCCGCTCCGCTGCTTCTCCCCTCCCCTCCTTTCTGCCCCCGCCCCCTCACAGGCGCCCCGCGCGCTCCGCCCGTGCGCGCCACCGCCGCCGCCGCCCCCTCCTCTTCCTCCTCAGGCACCAACTGTCGCTGGCCGAGGCGAGCCGGCCGGGGAAAGGGAGGGGGCGTGGCGCCGGAGACGTGCCGTAAAAGGAGTGGGCGGGGCGCACAGAGACCCGAGCGGGGAAGAGGAGGTGGGCGTGGCCCTAGGAAGGGGTGTACATAAAAGGAATGGGCGTGGCAAAGAGAGAGCGCGCACACTCGGAGCGGGACGTAGAAGGAGTGGGCGTGGCAGAGAGAAATCAGCGCGGGGAGGGAGAGGGGGCGTGGCCCTAGGAAGGGGCCGGAGATGGGATGGGCGTGGCAGGAATCCCGAGGGAGGAGGGGGAGGAGGCGGGGCCGGGCAACAGGCAGAGCGCCCCGCTAGTCCTCCGGTTGTGCGCATGCGCGAAAGTGTGCCCGGCCCGTCTTGGTGGGAGGAAGAGAGCTTCGAAAGCGTCTGTGTTGCCTCAGGCAGTATGGCGTGGCTCTGGGAGCTGCGGGTTCGAATCCCCGCTTCGGCCGTGAAACTGCCTCTGGCTAACCTTGGGCGCCATAGTCACCGCAGCCCCTTCTCCTCACCTGCATTGTGGGGATAAAACGGGGAGCAGCAGCAGGAGTTTAATAGAAATGTAATAAATGCACCAGCTGCTTCCTCCTTGAATTTGCCTCATGCTTAAAAAAACACCCAAAACCCCATTTTGATCAACATCAGTATTAATGGATTAAATCTATGCTTCCAGGTGTCATAAGAAAGCTGCAGAGATAGCGCAGGATAGTGCACACCCCAGAAATGATCTCCTTCAGCTTTTGCCTTCTGGAAGAAGGTACAGGGTTATAAAGACTGAGAAACAGTTTCTATCCAAATGCGATTTTGGTTTTAAACGCAGTGTAAGGTAGTCTCTGTGGGAGTATATTGTATTTAAAAATGGGGTATCAGACTTTTTAGGGGGCTAAACAGGCTGGGATAGCAGGCTGGTGGGTTTTTGAATGTCCGATGTAGATTTTTTCAATTTCGTTCTGTATGGGACAGTGACAATAAAGAGTATTGTATCGTAATACTGAACCAGGCAGAGGGCCTTCTCGGTGGTGGCCCCTGCCCTGTGGAACACCCTCCCATCAGATGTCAAGGAAATAAACAACTATCTGACCTTTAGAAGACATCTGAAGGCAGCCCTGTTAGGGAAGCTTTTAATATTTGATGAATTATTGTATTTTGATATTTGGTTGGAAGCCACCCAGAGTGGTTGGGGAAGCCCAGCCAGATGGGTGGGGTATAAATAATAAATTTAATAATAATAATAATATTGCAGATTTATAAACTGCCTCACAGCCCAAAAAGAGGTGGGGCACTTTCCCCAGGAGGCTTGCCTGACACCTTCATTGCATATCTCTAGGCAGCATAGGAAAATGTTTCTCTTCCTCCAGCTGTGGGCTGATTAACAAACTATAGCCTTTTAAACGTGTTTGTGGGAGGGAGGTTATTGGTTTGTTTTGGTCTGTGTTCTGTTAAGTATTTTGTGTTCTCGTTTTTGTATTTTTATGCTGTGAACCGCCCTGTGATCTTCAGGTGAAGGGCAGTACAGTGGTACCTCAGGTTAAGTATTTAATTCGTTCTGGAGGTCCATTCTTAACCTGAAACTGTTCTTAACCTCAGGTACCACTTTAGCTAATGGGGCCTCCTGCTGCTGCCATGCCGCCGGAGCACGATTTCTGTTCTCAGCCTGAAGCCAAGTTCTTAACCTGAAGCACTATTTCTGGGTTAGTGGAGTCTGTAACCTGAAGCATATGTAACCTGAAACGTATGTAACCCGAGCTACCACTGTACACAAATTTAATAGATAATAATGTTCAGCAAGATAACATGCAAACGCTTATGGGCTGCATAAACTTAAAGCAATCCCGTCTACACTTGTACGATAACGTTCCATAACAAAACAATTGGTCACAAGGAAAGTCATCTTGAAGAAAATGTCTCCAGTAACTGCCTAAATGTCAGCATGCCAGGTGCTTGTCTAATTTCAGATGGCAACGGATTTTGGATGGATGAAGTTGCAACACTGCTGCACTTGTGGCCATCGCAAGGGCACATCGCTTTGTGGCAGCGAATAGTACTCAAGAAGCGAGCATTCATGGAGGCCCCATCCAGAAAATGATCTGCTTTGCCCATTGGTTGCTCTGACACCATGCTCTTTGACTTATTTATTTTTATTTTACTTCTGTCCTGATAATTATATACTGGGGTGTGCTATACAAATCTGGTAAGGGGACGGGGGGCACGCAGATCTGAAGCCGAAACAGCAGAGCTGTGTCCCAGATTCAACCCCCAGGATTTCCAGGTAGGACCTACACGTGGGATAAGTAAGCACATTTAAATGTGGCACTTCTACATTTCACGTTGGGTTGGCCTACAGCTTAGCATGGCTGAGCACAGCGCATTATTCTTAGGAAAGGTTTGTGTCCAATCCTCCACACCTCCACTTACAGCAAACTCACCTGGTAAGGTGTCCCTAGGAAAGGGCTGATTCTGGCTTGTGTAATTGGCTTCCTGGGAAAGGTGCTTCCCGTCAGAGCAGACAGTCCTGAGTGTGAGACAAACCAATGATCTTCTCACTAACCGCAAGGAAGCTTCGTATGTTCATAAATGTAAATGAACATGGGTTATGGCCCACAACGAATCTATTGCCACTGGCAATCCAGTCCTCAAGTGAGGCAGATTTGGCATCATGTATTGCAACGGCTTGGACTACTTGTGCAATTATGTTATTTTCATTAATACGGTGTTTGTCTGATAATGTGTGGTTTGTTGTTGTTGTTGTTTAGTCGTGTCCGACTCTTCGTGTCCCCCTGGACCAGAGCACGCCAGGCACTCCTGTCTTCCACTGCTTCCTGCAGATTGGTCAAACTCATGCTGGTAGCTTCGAGAACACTATCCAACCATCTCGTCCTCTGTTGTCCCCTTCTCCTTGTGCCCTCCATCTTTCCCAGCATCAGGGTCTTTTCCAGGGAGTCTTCTCTTCTCATGAGGTGGCCAAAGTCTTGGAGCCTCAGCTTCAGGACCTGTCCTTCCAGTGAGCACTCAGGGCTGATTTCCTTCAGAATGGAGAGGTTTGATCTTCTTGCAGTCCATGGGACTCTCAGGAGTCTCCTCCAGCACCAGAATTCAAAAGCATCAATTCAAAAGCATCAATTTTGCTATGCCTAATAAAGGATTGACTTGTTGTTATTTTCATTATTAAAGGAAATCTGGCATACACCTCCAATGCAGCCACTGTGTGAAAGCAGGAACTTTTTAGGTAAAGCAATATTCAGCTGTTTTTTTTCTAGATTTATTCCTCTGTCATAGTAACAAGTTGCTGCAATTTTTATCCTGCTGAATATTAACCACTTGTGTAAGAGAAGGGCATTAGATCAGTGTTACAGCTCCTGTTTTGCACGCAGAAGGTCCCCAGGTTCAATCTCTGACAGCTCCAAGTAGAGTGAGGAATGTCCCTTGCTTAAAACCCTGGAGAGCTGCTGCCAGTCAGTGTTGACATTACTGAGCTTGATGGACCAGTGGTCTGTCTCAGTAAAAGGCAGCTTCCTGTATTACCATGTCTTTCATTGGGATATCTTCTATTAGCGTAAGAAGCTGCAAGTCTTGGGTTTTAGTTACTTCTTACTGACAAACTAAAAATACGCTTGGAACCTGCTTTGCTCCGTACGCAACTGAGAACTGTTTTCATTTCTGCTAAGGAAGACTTCGGTGTAACCCAAATCCTCGTTCAGGCGGCCAGCAAATGTCAAGTCAGTAAAAGTTTGCCAGATTTGCTTCTCTTTGGGGCAAGGCCAAGGTGCATTCTAGGGCTGTAGGATTAGCTATTTATGGGGACCTGCCAATGTTGTAATGTTATATTGTAAACCGCCCTGTGATACTTGGATGAAGGGCGGTGTCGAAATTTAATATAAATAAATAAACGTTGAACGTATGCCCTAATCCTCCCTGGTGCATGCTCAACGTTTTGGCACGAGAATGTAAAAGTTCCTCAAGCATGAATTGCACGAATGCTGCGACTGAGCATACGCAGGGTGCTTTTCCTTCACTGTAGGTACCAGGTGCATAGGACTGGTTAGACGAAAAATAAAAAATAAAAAATGGGGAAGCTATCAGAACATCTGGGCTAGCTACAGTTATGGCTCCTCTGTTTTTACTATTTCATTTTATACCTTTTTATGTTGCGAACAGGTCTCCGGAACGGATCCCGTTCGTGACCAGAGGTACCACTGTACACTGATATTAGTTCGCCTGTCTTCCCAAGTGATGTGTAAGCCACCCAGACACCTGTGGGCATAGGGCAGTATACAGTGGAACCTCAGTTCCTGAACACCTTGGGAGCCAAATGTTCCGGCTCCCGAACGAAAACTGGAAGTAATTGTTTTTGAACGTTCTATGGAAGCCAAATGCCCAGCATGGCTTCTGACTGGCTCCAGGAGTCGTGGCCGAACTGTTTCAGGAATCGAACAGACTCCTGGAATAGATAAAGTTTGGGAACCAAGGTTCCACTGTACAAATATAATAAATAAAAATAATCCATGCTGGCCACCGCTACTTCTTGTGGGAGCGAATTTCTTTAACTATGTGTGAACACAGGCTTTTTCTTTTTTTCTCCTGGCTCTTCCCACATTTGGCCCCATCAAATCCTAGTATGGTACCAAAGGGAGACCCAACAACCCCTAACTATTCACTTTCCTCCATATGTATCTATTGCCCTCGTAACAACGGCTTCAGCTCGTTTCAGAGATCAAACCGAGTCCCCGATTTCAGCATCCCAATCCCAAGAAGGACGCTCCATATATTGTGCTCACCCGTTTCCATCATCCATGCGTTTCCGCGCACAATTCAGAGCAGTAAATATAGGTCACTTCATGGCCCACAGCCTGGATCCCAGCCAAGCAGCTCCGCCAAGCAGAGTTTGCCTGCCTTAACAAACACACAACCCTTCGTTTTTGGTGTGTTTTAACAACGTGCTTCGTCTGTTGCTTCTGTGGTAACATACACAGAAAGTATGTCTCAGAATTCATCCAGTATACCTGAAGGAGTGTCTCCACCCCCATCGCTCTGCCCGGACACCGAGGTCCAGCGCCGAGGGCCTTCTGGCGGTTCCCTCATTGCGAGAAGCAAAGCTACTGGGAACCAGGCAGAGGGCCTTCTCGGTAGTGGCGCCCACCCTGTGGAACGCCCTTCCAGCAGATGTCAAAGCGATACCAACTACCTGACATTCAGAAGACATCTTAAGGCAGCCCTGTTCAGGGAAGTTTTTAACGTGTGATATTTACTGTATTTTTGGTTTCTATGGAAGCCGCCCAGAGTGGCTGGGGTATAAATAATAAATTATTATTATTATTATTATTATTATTATTATCATCGCTGCCCTTTCAGTCTTTACTCAAGCATTGAAAGCTGATTATATTTACATTAAACTACTTTCTTACTGTATTTTGTGCACTTTTCCCTACCTCTTTTTCAGTTTCTTCATCACTTTATTTCCTATAACTGAAATTCTTTTATTTTTTTTAAAAAATGGAAATGGCTTTTAGATGGACAATTGTGCAGCTATGAAACTATGCGATTTTTAAAAGACATCTGAAGGCAGCCCTGTTCAGGGAAGTTTTTAGCATTTTATGTTGTATTGTGTTGTTACTGTTTTTTGTTGGGAGCTGTAGCAACGCAGTCAGAATAATATATTTATAATTAATTTGTGCAATTTTACTTGTGCAATTATGTTATTTTCCTTAATGTGGTGTTTGTCTGATAATGTGTGGTTTGTGTTTAGTCGTTTAGTCGTGTCCGACTCTTCGTGACCCCCTGGATCAGAGCACGCCAGGCCCTCCTGTCTTCCACTGCCTCCCGCAGTTTGGTCAAACTCATGCTGGTAGCTTCAAGAACACTGTCCCACCATCTCGTCCTCTGTCGTCCCCTTCTCCTTGTGCCCTCAATGACAAGCCTAGACAGCATCTTAGAAAGCAGAGACATCACCTTGCTGACAAAGGTCCGTATAGTTAAAGCTATGGTTTTCCCAGTAGTGATGTATGGAAGGGAGAGCTGGACCATAAAAAAGGCCGATCGCCGAAGAATGGATGCTTTTGAATTATGGTGCTGGAGGAGACTCCTGAGAGTCCCATGGACTGCAAGAAGAACAAACCTCTTCATTCTTAAGGAAATCAGCCCTGAATGCTCACTGGAAGGACAGATCCTGAAGCTGAGGCTCCAAGACTTTGGCCACCTCACGAGAAGAGAAGACTCCCTGGAAAAGACCCTGAAGTTGGGAAAGATGGAGGGCACAAGGAGAAAGGGACGACAGAGGACGAGATGGTGGGACAGTGTTCTTGAAGCTACCAACATGAAGTTGAGGAAAACTGTGGGAGGCAGTGGACAGAAATGTTACGCATGCTCTGGTCCATGGGGTCATGAAGAGTCGGACACGACTAAACAATAACAAGAAGAAACACTAGTATAAAGAAAATGAAGGTGTTTTCAGATTTTGAACACGATGCTGGTAAGCTGTATCATGAGGGGCCAAAGACCACTCTGCTCTAGAGTAAACTGTGGAAAAAACAGACGACGGAAGCTGGATTTAAACAAGTTTTATTTAATTCTTCAATGGGAAGGGGTGGGGGAGTTAAATGATATAAAATAAGAAATGCACTGCCTTACAATCTGCCGAACCAAACCAGCTGTTTGTTTTTCTGTAAGGTTCTCGTACGAGGACACATGTTGCTCTGCGCTTAAGAACGGGACTGTAACAAAGGCCATGTTGGGTTCAGGGTGCCGCCATGAGCTTCCCAGCAGCAGGAGCACCACTAATACAAACAGCTGGCGAGCTCGCTGGCGCAATGCAGACACTTGTAATAAAAACACAATCAAGGGATACTTTTGCTTCTCATTTCACCTATCGCAAGCCCCATATTTTCCCATGCAGTCTCAGCCAGCCATTAACCATGTGGTCATGCTTAGATGGGCTTGTAGTCCAACTTAGACTCCAGCTTCTTGGAGTCGGCAACTTTCCTAACAGCCTTCATGAAGTCCTCCTGCACCACAAAGTCGTGATCGGCACGAATGGCAAACATCCCTGCAAAGACACAAGAGTTTGGGAATCAAGCTGTCAGAGAGAAGGAAAGGGGCGCAATAAGGTTCGTGCAGGCAACTCTCTGTGCTTCAGCTTTAATTGCAACGTTACGATCGCAATCCAGACCCTACAAGCATGTTAAGGCTCCCCTTCATGAGCTATAGCCATGCATATGCTCCTCCTTCCATAACTGTGACACATCATGAATTATTTGAGCTTTATAAGAAGTCTCAGGGACGCGGGTGTCACTGTGGGTTAAACCACAGAGCCTAGGACTTGCCGATCAGAAGGTTGGCGGTTCGAATCCCTGCGACGGGGTGAGCTCCTGTTGCTCGGACCCTGCTCCTGCCAACCTAGCAGTTCGAAAGCAAGTCAAAGTGCAAGTAGATAAATAGGTACCACTCTGGCGGGAAGGTAAACGGTGTTTCCGTGCACTGCTCTGGTTCACCAGAAGCGGCTTCGTCATGCTGGCCACATGACCCGGAAGCTGTATGCCGGCTCCCTCGGCCAATAAAGCGAGATGAGCACCACCGCAACCCCAGAGTCGGTCACGACTGGACCTAATGGTCAGGGGTCCCCTTTACCTTTACTAATAAGTCTCCAAGGGATCAGGAAAATGGAAAGTGATGTCACAAAGATCTCGTTTCCTTACCTGCTTCAGTGCATACATTTCTCAGATCAGCACCATTAAAACCATCGGAAAGCTTCACAATTGCTTCGTAATCTATAAAAGAAAAATTCCTGGGTTAATGGGAATTGTGGACTTAGAGCAAAAACCTGTTTCAAAAATCAGAACTCTTTGCTTCTGACTGACGCAGCAGTCCTGATGTGTGAACAAGCCAGCCAGGGTGGCTCGGTCCTGCCTCCACATTCAGAGGCAGCAAAGCTTCTGAATTCCAGTTACCGGAAACCAAAGCAGGCGAGTGTTGCTCTTGCGCCCGGATCCTGCTTGCGGGTTTCCCATAGGCAGCTGGTGGCCCCTGTGAGAACAGGAGGCTGGACTAGATGGGCCACTGGCCTGATCCAGAAGGCTCATCTTACTCCCACCCGTTCATTGTTTTATTCACATGCAGTCTTTCCATAGTTAAAACCCTGCTCAAAGGTGGCTCACAACATGAACAATAGTAACATCATTCAAAACGCAACAGTAGTAGTCATAAACTATAAATAAAAGATTAAAAAGTACACAATCAAATTGAACTACAGTGGACGCTTGGGTTGCAAATGTGATCCGTGCGGGATGCACGTTCGCAACCCGCAGTGTTCGCCACCCACGTCTGTGCATGTGTAGGTTGCGATTTGGCGCTTCTGCGCATGTGCAACTGCTGAAACCCGGAAGTAACCCATTCCGGTACTTCCGGGTTTCGGTAGTCCGCAACCTGAAGGTATAACTGTATCTCCACATTAATCAAAATAAAGACACAAAAAATCAATACAGTGGAACCTCGGCTCCCGAACGGCTTAGCTGATGAACAAATCGGCTCTTGAACTCCGCAAACCTAAGTAAGTGTTCTGGTTTGTGAACGTTTTTTGGAAGCCAAATGTCCATTTCGACTGTCAGCATTGTTTCCAGGGCCAATCAGAAGTCGTACCTTGGTTTTCGAACATTTTGGAAGTCGAATGGACTTCCAGAATGGATTGAGTTCGAGAACAAAGGTACCACTGTATAAAAAACAGCAGTAACATTCCCCTCAACCCCCGTCCCCCCAAAAAACCAAGCAATACGACACTCAAAGAGTCTGTTCAGCAGCCGGAGTTCACAAGTGAGATCAGGAGCAGGTCAGACAACCTGATACAACATACTATTCATGATGCCACCATAACAAAATGTTTCTTTGGCTGTGCCAACTTCACTATTCCATCAGCACTAAAAATAAGTGTGGGTCGGTATGGTGCGATGCACGAGTGGGAAACAGATACGGCTGGTGGGCCAGGTTGTTATCTCTTCCACCCCGAGGGCCAAGTTCGTCACACCCTTGTGGCTGGCCAGCTGTCAACTGCCTGATGTCCACAATGGGAGAGTTGGGGGAACTCCCAGAACAGATCTGGGCAGTATGGGGGGGGTAGGGAGCGGGCAGTTCCAACATCCTTCTGTGAACAGGACAACCCAAATAATTTTGTGGCAACTTAAAGAGCAACAAATTTATGATAGCACAAACTTTCGTGGACTGTAGTTATTAAGGTGTGCTTCTCAGTGATGGCTCCGACCTGGTGGAATGCTCTGTCCCACGAGACCAGGGCCCTGCAGGATTTAACTTCCTTCCGCAGGGCCTGTAAGACAGAGCTATTCTGCCTGGCTTTCAATTTGAACTTAGCCTGATCTTTCATTCCCCTTCCTTCCCTCCCTCTCCCCTTTTTATGAAGATTACCCGCTCTGGGATCCCACAGCTAATTCTCCCCTGGTCTCCTCGCTGACCCAAATAGGACTAACTTAGCCAGCTAGCCTTGGTGATCATCTAATGTTTATTGGATGGATTTCCCCCCTAAATTGATTTTTGAATTCTGAATTTATTGTTGTTCATGTTTTATACTGTATTTTATGCTGTTTTTTGTTGCATCAATTAAGTGTTTTAAATTTGTTGTTAGCCGCCCTGAGCCCGGTTTTCTGAACTGGGAAGGGCGGGGTATAAATAAAAAATTATTAATTATTATTATTATTATAAAATTTTGCTGCAGAAGACCAAGCTGGCTATTTCCCTGGAAATTTACAATCTGTTACAGGAAACAGACTTGAATATGCAAAGCCCAGCCCCCTCCCAGACGCACCTGTGAAGCCCTGGGTGGGGACTTACCTATTTCCCCATGTTTTGTTATAGGTCCAGCGTGGATCTTCAGTATGTCTAACCTGGCCTGTTCATTTGGCAAGTCAATATCTAGAAGGAGGGAGAAGCTATGTTAATTTCGAAAGGTACGCAAGCGAAGGGGAGGCACAGACTAATGCCAACCCTACAGAAACTCAGTACTCACGGATTTTCCTGTCCAGTCTTCCAGGACGCAACAGTGCCGGATCCAGAGTGTCTGGTCTGTTTGTAGCCATTATCATTTTAACTCTGTGCAGAGTATCAAATCCATCCATCTGGTTCAGCAACTGGAATGCGTGGCGAGAAAACAAAAGCGTTGGTTAATCGGCAAAGAACTTGCCCCACTGAGTGGGCTGAGAAGAGCAGTGTGGGGCAGCAGGTCCCAGGTCCAGTCTTGTCTTGGCATCTCCAGCTTCAGGCTGGGAATAATCCCTGCCTGGAATCCGGGAGAGCTGCCGCCAGTCTGAACTACTGAGCTGAACAGACGAATAGTATGGTAGTCCTGGTGTGCCCCGCGGAGGACCTTAAGGTCCACAAATGACAACATTTTGGAGGTCCCAAGTCGCAAGGTGGTTAGGTTGTGTTGCGTGTAGTGAAGGGTTAACCTTCTATGCCTCAGGACTGAGGGGACAGGCTTACAAGGGAAGTAAGCCAGGACGTGACGAAAGCAGCTTGGAGTGCTGTGTACTGGGTGGAAATCGAAAGCAGTTTGTTGCGTCGCTTCAAACAGAGGGAGAAGATGCAGCTTGAATCAGATGGAAGTTGGAGTTTGTAAATACGCTACTTTTGTGCCAATAAAGAGATATTAGGACAGAAGAAACGTTTGGGACTCTTTTACTGCTCTTTTGACACACGCTGCTGTGTAACTCTGCTAATTGCTTTACGATCTACGGCTCCCAGGGGAAGCGTGGCTGGGCGCCGAACAATAAAGCAATAAATCTACCATACCGAAGTATGGTAGTCCTGGTATGCCCCAGGGAGGACCTTAAGGTCCACAAATGACAACATTTTGGACGTCCCAAGTGTCAAGGAGGTTAGGTTGGTCTCAACTAGGGCCAGGGCCTTTTCAGTACTGGCCCCGACTTGGTGGAACGCTCTGTCTCAAGAGAACAGGGCCCTGTGGGATTTGACATCTTTCTGCAGGGCCTGCAAGACAGAGCTGTTCCGCCTGGCCTTTGGTTTGGACTCAGTCTGACCCTTATGTTTTCCCTCCCCTTATGGTTTTGATCTATGGGCTAATTTTAAAATGAGGCTGCATTTTAAATTGCATTTTAACCTGTATCTTAAATTGGTTTGGGTTTTTTTCCTATTATGTTTTTACTGTAATTTTACTGGTGTTAGCCGCCCTGAGCCCAGCTCTGGCCAGGGAGGGCGGGGTATAATAAAATTATTATTATTATTATTATACCCTGCCCATGGGACATGAGTGGCGCTGTGGGTAAAACCTCAGCGCCCAGGACTTGCCGATCGTATGGTCGGCGGTTCGAATCCCCGCGGCGGGGTGAGCTCCCATCGTTCGGTCCCAGCTCCTGCCCACCTAGCAGTTCGAAAGCACCCTTAAGTGCAAGTAGCTAAATAGGTACCGCTTTATAGCGGGAAGGTAAACAGCGTTTCCGTGTGCTGCGCTGGTGCAGGCTCGCCAGAGCAGCTTCGTCACGCTGGCCACGTGACCCGGAAGTGTCTTCGGACAGCGCTGGCCCCCGGCCTCTTAAGCGAGATGGGCGCGCAACCCCAGAGTCGGTCACGACTGGCCCGTACGGGCAGGGGTACCTTTACCTTTATACCCTGCCCATATGGCTTGACCTCCCCAGCCCCTCTGGGCGGCTCCCAACAGAATATTAAAAACACGATAAAACATCAAACATAAAAAATTTCCCTAAACAAGGCTGCTTTCAGTTGTCTTCTAACTAGAATTAGTTATTATAAACCCATGGAAACCAGCAATGGAGACACGACCTTAGGATCCAGGAGAACGGTGGCTCTATCGTTTACTCAGAAAGAACACGTGTGAAGGTTCTAGTCTTGGACATGGTTCTAGTCCAAGGTTCTAGTCTAGACATGGAGATGGGACTGCAATTCAGACACAGAATGGCTGCTTTATGCCAGGAGCTGTTCAGTATTTGCCGCTTTTAGCATTGTCTACTTCCAAGGAAAAGACCTCCTCACATAAATGATTTCAGGAGGCACCAGTGGTGAACAGCTGCAAACAATTTCAACATCACCGTTCAGCTATTTCATCTTAGCAACTGATCCTTAAGTCTCACATTTTATGCTGCCTGCCTAGGATTACAAAGATGTTTGTGTACACGTGAAAGACGACCGGCTCCAGTTCAGAGAAGCGTTACCTCCATTAGAGTTCTCTGAATTTCTCTGTCAGCTGACGTGCCCTCCGAGAAACGACGGCCACCTAAGGAGAAAATCAGCGGGAAAGAAGTCAGACCCTTTCCCTGGTCACCACGCAGGGCAGCTCATGAAAGGAGCGAGGGGAGTTAAAAAGTCAAGTTGCAAGCTGAGGTGCAAGGTTTCTGTATAGAATCTAGGCAAAAGAAAAGAACAGAAAGGGGGTTTGGAAGGTTCCCTTCAAGAGATCACTCAAAAGCAACTTCTGGGTAACATAGGGTCTTGGGGAGGCAATACCTTTTTCAGGTACTTACCTGAGTAAATTAGTTTTACTTTCATGTGGTTACCCTCAGCCCCTGTCCCACTGACATACTGTATTAAGCTCCAAGTAAACAGCTCCAGGGGGACGCGGGTGGCGCTGTGGGTTAAACCACAGAGCCTAGGACTTGCCAATCAGAAGGTCGGCGGTTCGAATCCCCATGATGGGGTGAGCTCCCGTTGCTCGGTCCCTGCTCCTGCCAACCTAGCAGTTCAAAGCACGTCAAAGTGCAAGTAGATCAATAGATACCACTCCGGCGGGAAGGTAAATGGCGTTTCCGTGCGCTGCTCTGGTTCGCCAGAAGCGGCTTAGTCCTGCTGGCCACATGACCCGGAAGCTGTACGCCGGCTCCCTCGGCCAATAAAGCGAGATGAGTGCCGCAACCCCAGAGTCGGTCACGACTGGACCTAATGGTCAGGGGTCCCTTTACCTTTACACAGCTCCAGCCTTTGAAAGTGGATGTCATAATACAGTACAGCTGCTAGTTGTCAGGTGCCAGAAGACTCTGCAAGGTGTTTTTTTTGGAGGGGGGGTTCTTTTCAGCCCACGTTTCCGTCACGGGTAAACTTTTGGGGCCACATTCCAGTGGTGTGGCCAGAGCCTAAAGTGGGTTTGTCTTTGTACAATAGCCTACATCCAAACCATGCAGAATTGAGGCAAGAGGCAGGGCAAGGACAAGCAAAAAGCCCTTGAGGAAGAGGGCAAATCAGGACTTGCGAGGAGTGTGGCATCTAATGTGTGGGGTGGTCTGGGGAGAGTCCTGAGGACCAGAGAGAGGACTAGCCCCTGGGGTTAAGGTCCTCCACATCTGCTCTCGTATGTTTGGTGTATAGCAGGGGTGCTCAAACTTTTCTTTTGCAAAGAGGACCAGATTGGATGAAGCGAACATGCATGAGGGCCGAGCAAAGTTGATGAGCTTTTTTTTTTAAGGACATGAATTGCCAATGGCGGCCAGATTAAATCGATAGGCGGGCCAAATTCGGAATGGACTTTGGACATGCCTGGTGTAAAGGCTTTTGGCACAGCCGCCCTTCCTGCATCTCCCTGGTCTTGACTCTTGTTCACCTGTAGGAAAACTTTATCAGCTACATTAAAGGTAAAGGGGCCCCTGACCATTAGGTCCAGTCGTGGCTGACTCTGGGGTTACGCCGCTCATCTCGCTTTATTGGCCGAGGGAGCCGGCGTACAGCTTCCGGGTCATGTGGCCAGCATGACTAAGCCGCTTCTGGTGAACCAGAGCAGCGCACGGAAACGCCGTTTACCTTCCCGCTGGAGCGGTACCTATTGATCTACTTGCACTTTGACATGCTTTCGAACTGCTAGGTTGGCAGGAGCAGGGACCGAGCAACGGGAGCTCACCCTGTCGCGGGGATTCGAACCGCTGACCTTCTGATCGGCAAGTCCTAGGCTCTGTGGTTTAACCCACAGCGCCACCCGAGTCCCATCAGCGACATTACGTGCAGGCAAAGTGCAGTACAGGTAAGCAGAGGAGTTCTTTGGGCAGCTGGTTGGGGGGGTGAAAGCTCGATGGGCTTCTTGTTGAGCTGCTCCGCCTTACCGATAGCGTCAATTTCATCCATGAAAATGATGCAGGGCTGATGATCCCTGGCGTAGTTGAACATCTCTCGGATCAACCGGGCGCTTTCACCAATGTATTTGTCCACAATGGAACTAGACACCACCTGTGGAAAGTTGTTACAGGTAGCATGAGCGGCGGCTGCTGCAGATCAAACAGGTCTGCTTTAAGATTCTGGAAAGGAATCTTAAAGAAATTGTTTTACCTTTAAGAAATTGCAGTCAAGCTGGCTGGCAACAGCTCTGGCCAAGAGAGTTTTCCCCGTACCTGCGTGGAGAATACACGTTGCATCAAGAAGCAGTGAAAACATGTGGCAAGAGGTATACATTTAAACAAACGTACAAAGCAACATCGTGTAACAGGTGCAGTGTAGGCCTTTGACCAGAGACCCATGCTCAAAATTTCCATTCATCCCCTCCGGGTGAGCCTGCCCCTTAATCAAGTCTGCCCGTTAAGCCTTATCAGTCCTGCGTTATAGGGTTTAAAACTTTCTATCTTGTTCAATTGGCCTTTCGGGATTGATGCTTATTGGTTGGACTGTGACTACCTTTAATTATGTTTTTCTGCATCTGCGATTCCCGTGAGAAGAATGGGTGTGTTGTTTTGGTTTTAAAACTTGTATTCTTGGGTTGGCTTTTATGGCTGGCTAGGAAGTGGAAGAAAATGCGGCCTATACAATCATACCTCGGGTTACAGCCGCTTCAGGTTGCGTTTTTTTGGGTTATAGATTATGGAACGGGTTACATCTGGGTTTTGGCAGTTGTGCATGCACAGAAGCGCTAAATCACGCTTTGCGCATGTGCAGAAGCGCTAAATCGCAACCCACGCACGCGCAGATTGCGAACGTGCATCCTGCACGGATCACGTTCGCAACCCAAGGATCCACTGTAAATGTTTTTAAATGAATAAACTAAACCAGGAAGGTTCATTCCCCACCTCCCTCTCTCAGCCTGACCTACCCCCCAGGACTGAGCTAGCCCTGAGGGACAGCAGAGTTCGTAGAGCAAGAGATTCTCAAGGCCATGTGTCGAGCCCTATGTTGACTGAAAGCTTCCTGCACTGCAGGGGGTTGGACTAGGTCAGTGTTTCCCAAACTAGGGACTCCAGCTGTTTTCAAACTGCATTTCCCATCATCTCTGCCCAGTGGTCTTGCTAGCTAGGGATGATGGGAGTTGTAGTCCAAAAACAGCTGGATACCGAGGTTTGGGAAACACTGGACTAGATGATCCTCGTGGCCCCAACTCTAAGATTCTATGAGGATTGTTTTGAAGAGAAAAGGGGAAAAACTCATGTTTGCTATTATGAGCTCATGGGACAATAGAGGCACAACTGCTATGAGTTCTTTTGTTTTTTTACAGTCAAGCTACATATAAATTCTACGAAACAATGTGATTAAAAATGTATAGAATAATGGGATTCAAACAGCATTTCAAAAGGGATTAAGAGAGACGAAATTACTGCTTTACTTGTATAGGGCTGGAATAACTTCAACAATGCTGGTGTTTCAAATGTAACACCCATTTCAGTGCTCTATCTGCTGGCTCCTAAAAATGTGACCCCCACTTCACACCCACCCACCCACTGCTACTTGAAGGAATATTGCCACAGAGCAGTTGATGCGGAATGAAATCTCCCAAGAGTCATACTGTTTGTTCAGCAGTCAAGAGGCAAGCAGACCAAGGACACCAACCTGGTGGGCCATACAGCAAGCAGCCTTTGGGAGGTATAATCCCCACACGCTGGAACAATTCTGGATTAGTCAGTGGTAACTCTATAACCTGCGAAGAGAAGTAACAAAACGTGCCTTGGATTCAAAACAGAAGGTATACAAAGGCCTGGTTCACATGTTAACGCTGAACCATGGTTTTATCAAGTCATAGTTTATTAACCATGGTTTGTTTGATCACCGAAACATAGCTTCACCATGGTTGTTTGCCCATCTACAAATCAAAATCTGAAACCATGTTGTTGTGGTTTTGCTGGTTTACAAACCTTGGCTTGTTTTCACTATGTCTGAACCTGCCACCCTTCCCTAACCATGATTTGTCTGGCCACCTCAAAGGCAAGTAGGACAACCGTGGGACAATTTTGCGTCAACTCATAGTTTTGTTAAAGAAACCATGGCTGAAATTTAGTGGTATTCAACTATGTTTGTTCAGTATATTCCCACTGAAATTAATGGGCCTAGCTTAGTTTTGTCCATTGATTACAAAGGGTCTACTCTAAAACTAGGTGAACACAACTCCAAAACAAGTCAAATGTCTGTGCTACTTTTTGTTGTACGCAAGACTTTTGTGCAATGGTGTGTAAGCCAATTTGAATATCCTATTTGAATATTTAAAACCTGAGCTGCTTTAGGCTCATCGGACAATGTTCTGGGTCAATAAATTGATGGTGGCAGGGGAGTCCACAGCTGGCTAGCCGAAACTAATGCTGAACTACCAAGGCCAGCAATGATTTATTCAATGCTGCCCAACTTAGATATCACACCAATCTAGGGTTAGAGGATATCAGGAAAAGGAAGAGGAACTGGCTTGACAGCAGGGAAGAAGTGTGCATGCTTGTTCTGAAACCCAGCGCTACCACCAAATTGTACCTTAAATTGTACTTAAATGTCTTCCCTGCCAGCAAGGTAAACATATCCATCATTCAGACCAATAAAGAATCAGGCAATTACCTCTCTTAGTTCCCTGATTTGTTCCGACAATCCTCCAATCTCGGAATAAGATACATCTCCAGGATCTTCATGAGACATGTTGTAAACGAGGGGATCAACTTCTCTTGGCAAATATCTAAATTGGAGAAGCCACACAACTGATGTCACCCGCTGATTTTTAAAGCCCCTCTAAAGCAACTTCCCACCCTTTCCCCACCCACAGTTTGTAAGCCACGTATAAAAACGAAGATACCCGAGTAAGCTGACTGCCTTGGGGGTAGGGAAGGCTTGCTCTACATGTTGGGGATATTTAAGAAATAGGCTGGGTAACATTCAGTCAGGGACGATGCAGTTACCTTCTGTCATGGGAAATCCTGCTAAAAGCAGGAGGAGGGACTGGATAACCCATCTAACTCCATGAGCGTGAGTAGTCAAACTAAGGCCCAGGGGCCGGATCCAGCCCCATCGCCTTCTCAATCCAGCCCACAGACGGTCCGGGAATCAGCGTGTTTTTACATGAGTAGAATGTGTCCATTTATTTAAAATTCATCTATGGATTATTTGTGGGGCATAGGAATTCGTTCATTCCACCCTCCCCCAAAATATAGTCAGGCCCACCACATGGTCTGAGGGATCTGCTCTATGATCCTAGAAAACTAATAAGTTTTTATTTAACATTGGTTAACATATTTATCAGCTGATTCAGTAACTACTCTTTTTAATGGGGTGGGGGGTGTCTCTTCATGTCATCTTTGCAAATATTAAAAAACCACCACCAAATTTTACAGCTATTTTTAATACCTTCTGTGATGCTAAGTAAGATTAGCACTTAATTAAACTTATGGTATTTCCCCCTATGTCTGGTATTACTAGTTGCAATGTGCATCCAATAATCATGAGCTCTCTGGCATCTCTACACAACCACACACGGATATGGCCTGCATTAGGAATACCGTGCTTCCAAGATTTAAACAGTGTTATTGAAAATATTTTTTGAGCTGAGTGCCAAAAAAATAATAATTGTAATTTATACTGTGCCTCCTGAACCAAAAAGCTTAATGTTACCCTGTTCACCAAATATGCTTCATAACCCACTTTTATTCCTGGATTGGCACACCAAGTGCTACGACGCACTGAGTTTTTGTAGAAAACTGGTTCTGCTTTCCGTTCTGATGGTCACCGTACCAAATCAAGATGCCAAAGGAAGCAGGTGGAAGCAAATGCTTCAATACCCTTGGAAGTTTAATCAAGTAAGAAAATACTCCATCTTAGCCCTTGGTTTGGAATGCCCAGTTCTCTTTCTGCACCAAGAGCAAGTGAGACTTTGAGACACAGATTTTTTTTTTTTTAAATACCCTTTTAAAAAAGGGTTTTTATAGCCCCTAAATCAACCTTTCTCAACCTGTGGGTCCCCAGATGTTGAACCATAACTCCCATCATCCCTAGCTAGCAAGGCCAGAGCTCAGGGATGATGGGAGTTGTAGTCCAACAACAGCCAGGGACCCACAGGTTGAGAACTGCTGCAAATGCTTCTGTGGCCAATACTTTGCAGTAGCTCCACTGCAGGCTTCCTCCATCCCACTCTCCCCTCCCGCCCACTTGATGAGAAGACCTTACCTCATAATAGTTAGGGTGGTCATATCCAGTGCAACTCTTGTCCCAGGCTTCAGCTTACTTTTATCAAGCTGAATGCAAAAGGAGAGGAAGGCAATTGTTAAGATTTGGAAAGCTAAGTGTAGAAGAAGTCGTTTCTTACGGTGCTGTCAGAAACTGACAGCTCCGACCACACTAGTAATCAGGCACTGTCAGCTCCAGAGTCGAATCCAAACCAAATGAGGTGACTCGCCAGCTTTCTAATATGAAGTGACCCCATTTTACAGATTTTACTCTCCGAAGCTGCTTGACATCTAAGCCAATTAAAGTATCAAATTATCAAGGGGTGCTATTCAGGACTGGGATAGTAACCCATCACGACAGTCTCTCTCCCAGCCCACACTCTCACAAACAATTTACGGCACTCACCAAAGGGAAGAACGAACCGAGTGTCAAAAAGACATATTTGCCCATGCATGTGCTACAGCCCTAAAGTCTGTGGACGTCTGAGTTATGATCTGAGAGACCAAGACCCATATTCTCAACCGCAGGATGCTCACCTGACGACGGCAGCCGACAACATATCTTGGTCCATTTGTTGCTTTGACAATGACTGGAAGCAGCAAAAGAAAGCACATGGCAGTATTTTAATTTTTCTGCAATTGTGGCTGCAAAAGGACATGTTGCTAAAACATTTTCGCAGTGCTGGATGCGCCAGCATTGCTGCGCTATTCATACTTGGCTTTTCATTTTGCCTTGTTAAATTATTTTGTCAGCATCCTCTTTTGCCTGCTGCCTTGGGAAGGCAGCATGCCTTGAAATGTGGTTTAAATGTAACTTACTAAATTAACAAAACGAACATTAAATACACCAGTAAATTAATAAAACAATCATTAAATATACTAATAAATATCCTTCTTAATAAACTCACATTTTTCTTCTGTTAACTGTTTAAGAACCTCACCAACGATCTGTTTTTAAAAAAAGAAAAAATATTAGACCTACTGACCAATATCAAGAACCCTGCCTATCTGGGTCCCACAAAGGGACATGACGTTCATTCACCACAGTACCCTCAGACGTTTTGAGTCCAGACCCACATATGGAAATCTAATAAACTGTTTAGGGCCCCAGAAAAATACCCATTTAACCCAAGAAAAACTGGAGATGCTAAGGAACCCCACCCAAATGGCTCATTTACTGACACATTCCTATCCATATATAAACACTCACCTGTCCAACACTCTGCAAAGCCTTGAGGTCATTCTCAGATTTTTCATACTGCTTGGTGAGCTCCTTCAGCTGTTCCCTTACTACAGACAAAAAAACATTGAAAAAGCTTGTTATGCATGTTCTAAATCAGTGCTCTTTTTTTCCCCTCGGACAAAATGATCACAACTAATCCAGAATGCGGCAGCTAGACTGGTGACTGGGGGCGGCTGCTGAGACCACATAACACCGGTCTTGAAAGACCTACACTGGCTCCCAGTACGTTTCCGACCACAATTCAAAGTGTTGGTGCTGACCTTGAAAGCCCTAAACGGCCTCGGCCCAGTATACCTGAAGGAGCGTCTCCACCCCCATCGTTCTGCCCGGACACTGAGGTCCAGCGCCGAGGGCCTTCTGGTGGTTCCCTCAACATGGAACCAGGCAGAGGGCCTTCTCAGTAGTGACGCCCACCCTGTGGAACGCCCTCCCATCAGATGTCAAAGAGATAAACAAATACCTGACATTCAGAAGACATCTTAAGGCAGCCCTGTTCAGGGAAGTTTTTAATGTGTGACATTTTAGTGTATTTTTGGTCTCTGTGGAAGCCGCCCAGAGTGGCTGGGGAAACCCAGCCAGATGGGCGGGGTACAAATAATAAATTATTATTATTATTATTACTGCAGCTGTAAAATGTTATTTTCAGATGTGCACAAGGCAGAATAGAAAGTGCACTTCTTTATACATTGATTCCCGCCCCCCCCCCCCGATCAAATAAATGTGGCATAATGATCTTCACAGATGCTTTGCTAACCAATGTGTGCTGTGATCCTGTGCGCACTTATGTGAAAGCAAGTTCTACTGGAAAAGAAAGCAAGGCAGGACTAGGGCACCTGTGGCTCTCCACCCTGTGGCCCCCAGGTAGGCCAATGGTCAGGGATGCTGGAAGTTTGGGTCCGGCAACATGTGGAGGACCACAGGTTCTCGCCCTACCCCCGCCTTTCAAAAGGAACCGACTGGAACAGATGGAGCTTTAGCAGCAAATGTCTTCCTCTGCTTTCCTTTGGACCACATCAGTGAGGCCGAGAGGGGGGTCTTGTTGCCTGGGCCGCCCAGGACCTCCATACACACTGCCCAGGCTAATGTCCCAAGGAGGTCACTTTGGCGCTGCAAATGCAGTAAAAACATTGCAGGACGCAGCAGTTACAAGTTACCGGTCTCTGCAGCCACAACAGGTGCTGTGATTCTCCAGTGGTTTGACTTCACCTCCAGAGGCACACTCCATTGTCTCTTGAGACAGACAGATGCCAATAGAAAGCGTGTCCCCCCCCCATCACCTTTTCATGCTAAGTGAGAGCACCACCTGCTTTTTTGCTGAAGGGGGGAGCTGGAAAACAGGGATCTCTCAGAGCACCTCCTCCACCAGGCAGGTCTACTACCCAAGGTGAAGGCATTCCAGGGGATCACAGGAAAGTAGGAATTGGCCACCTATCCTGAGCCAGACTGCTGCTTCATCTCGCTCAATATTGTCAACAGAGAGTAGCAGTAGCTCTCCGGAGCTTCAGAGTCCTACCTGGGGATGCTAGGCATCTAACTCAAGAGGTTGTGAGCTCTCCTCCTTTGGAGGTTTTTAAGCAGAAGTTGGATGGCCATATGCCATGCATGATCTAGTTGAGATTCCTGCATTGCAAGGGGTTGGACTAGATGGCCTTTGGAGTCCCTTCCAACTCTATATTCTAGTAGTCTATGAGCTCCTTGGAGGAAAATGGCAGGGTAGGAATCACAGAACTGGAAGCAGTCCCCTCCCCCTCTCTCACACAGACAAAACCCACTGCAGTCAACTATAGGCAACCAACCATGCCCTGCCCTCCACCTCTCTCACTGCCAACAAAACCCAATACAGTCGTACCTTGGGTTACAGATGCTTCAGGTTGCGTTTTTTCAGGTTATGGACCCACCAAAACCCAGAAGTACCAGAACGGGTTACTTCTGGGTTTTGGTGGTTGCGCATGCGCAAAAGCGCCGAATTGTAACCCGCACGTGCGCAGACGCGCTGCTGCGGGTTGCGAACGTGCATCCCGCACGGATCACGTTCGCAACCTGAGCGTCCCCTGTAAATGAATAGAAATACAACCTGCCCATGTGACGCTGACACAAAAACCTTACACGTACACTATATGGAAGAATGAAACTTTACTACCTCTCCCCTCAATGTCTCCTTCCCCACCTCTTTTCTCCCCCAATGTAAATGCTGTCTATATCATTGTATGTCTCACACTGAATATGAATGATCTGTAGAAAGAACTCTCATCAGCTGGAAGCAGACGCTGTAGGTACCTTTGTGACACAAGAAAACCTTTAATAAAAACCAAAACAAAGAAGAATCGGAAGGGACCCTGGGGGTCATCCAGCCCAACCCTTCAGGACTCTCAACTTAACTATTCTTATTTTTATTGCCAACAGCAACTTGAAGTAGCTCTCCAAAGCTGCATAGTCCTACCTGGAGATGCCAGGCATCTAACTGAGAAGCTTGTAGCCTCTGGAGGTTTTTATGCCTGGGCTGGACGGCCACCTGCTGCCAAGTGTGATGCTAGTTGAGATTGTGAGGGGGTTGGGCTGGATGACCCTCGAGGGTCCCTCCCAACTCTATCAACCTAGGACAGTGGTGGCGAACCTATGGCATGTGTGCCAGAGGGGGCACCCAGAGACCTCTCTGTGGCACACGTGCCATCGCCCCAGCACAGAGTTCGTAGGGCCAGCATGTGCGCAGAGTAGAGCCATGTGTGCGCAAGTAGCCAGTTTGCCACCCATGGGCTGCAGCAGAAATGTAAACGTTCCATTCCGCTCTCTTAAAGCGCCCTCAGTGCAGAACTGCCAGTAAGCTGGGCGGCATTTTGCTCGCTCCCGCATGCGCGGGCTTTAGAAGTACAGCCCGGTGAGCTAGCCATTGAATCATAGGATTGTGAGGAGTTGGAAGGGAACCCGAGGGTCAGCTAAGTCCAACCCCCCTGCGATGCAGGGATCTCAACGACAGCATACACGGCAAATGGCCATTCAGCTTCTGCTTCAAAATCTCCCAAAGAAGCGTTTCTTGAAGGGAAATCATCAAAACGGCCATGTTGTCTGGGAGCAATTCCCTTTTCGTGATTTCCCAAACAAGGGTAATGCAAACTTTCACCTTTCAATAAAGAATTGTTTGTATCATTGAAAGCTCTGTTATTGTGTTTTTCTTTTAAGATAAAAGATGTTAATGTATGAGTTGTTTTCCTGTAAACTGAAATCAAAAAATTCCTTCCAGTAGCACCTTAGAGACCAACTAAGTTTGTTCTTGGTATGGGCTTTCGTGTGCATGCACACTTCTTCAGATACACTGAAAGAGAAGTCCCCAGACCCTTATGTCTGGTGACTTGTGTTTCAGTGTATCTTAGGTCTGGCGACTTCTTTTTCAGTGTATCTGAAGAAGTGTGCACGCACACGAAAACTCATACCAAGGACAAACTTAATTGGTCTCTAAGGTGCTACTGGAAGGAATTTTCTTTGTTTCGACTACAGCAGACCAACATGGCTGCCTACCTGTAACTAAAACCACAGTACGGTATTCCGGTTAAACTGCCGTGTTGGCACTTTGCAATAAATAAGTGGGTTTTGGGTTGCAGTTTGGGCACTCGGGTCTCTAAAAGGTTCGCCACCATTATCCTAGGTACTGCAATGCGCTCTATGTGGGGCTACCTTTGACGGTGACCCAGAAACTACAACTAATCCAGAGTGCGGCAGCTAAACTGGTGACTGGGAGTGGCCGCCAAGACCACATAACATCATTCCTGAAAGACCTACATTGGCTCCCAGGACGTTTCCGAGCCCAATTCAAAGTGTTGGTGCTGACCTTGAAAGCCCTAAACGGCCTCGGCCCAGTATACCTGAAGGAGCGTCTCCACCGCCATCGTTCAGCCCAGACACTGAGATCCAGCCCCGAGGGCCTTCTGGCGGTTCCCTCATTGAGAGAAGTGAGGTTACAGGGAACCAGTCAGAGGGCCTTCTCGGTAGTGGCACCCGCCCTGTGGAACGCGCTCCCAACAAATGTCAAAGAAATAAACAACTACCTGACGTTCAGAAGTCATCTGAAGGCACCTGTTTAGGGTATCTTTTAATATTTGATGCATTACTTTATTTTAATCTTTTGTTGGAAGCCACCCAGAGTGGCTGGGGAAGCCCAGCCAGACGGATGGGGTATAAATAACAAATTTATTATTAATTATTATTATTATTATTATACCTCGGGTTAAGTACTTAACCTGAAACTGTTCTTAACCAGAAGACCACTTTAGCTAATGGGGCCTCCTGCTGCCGCCGCGCCGCCAGAGCACGATTTCTGTTCTCATCCTGAAGCAAAGTTCGTAACCCGAGGTACTATTTCTGGGTTAGCGGAGTCTGTAACCTGAAGCGTCTGTAACCTGAAGCGTATGTAACCCGAGGTACCACTGTATAAGGGCAGGCACACCTTTGTTCGAGGTCCTCCTCCTTTCCTGCGTGTGAGGGGAGCGCCCTGTTGCAACAGTTTAATAAAGATCAGGCTTACTAGCTGCTTTGCTTCTCAGTATTCTCTGGTTGGCCTCTTGTTATTTTCTCCTACTGATGGGGAACCCACTTAAGGGCTCTGTAGGGGCTCTTAAGATTCCCTTATTGGGAAGCAGTAACCCGAGGTACCACTTGGAGGGCAAAGGCGGGGTGTGGGGGATACCCAGGGGCCATCCATCCCAACCCCCTTGGGACGCGAGGCTCCGTGGCCGAGGCCTCCGTAGCAGCTCTTCCTGTGCTCAGATAGGAATACAGGCCAATAAACAGAAGGGGAAAGAGGTGCGGCCTAGGAAGCCCCTCCCTCCCTCCCTGCCAGGCCCGGCCGTGACAAAGCGGCCCCTCTCCCCGGCCACTCACGCTCCTTGAGGCGCCCGTCGATCTCCTTGTGCTCCAGGAGCTTCTTGCGGTAGTCCTGCAGCGCCTTGTCTCGGGGCTCCGCCATGATGATGATGAGGATCCCGATGCGGCTCTCGGCCGGGAGGGGGCCACTGCGCACGCGCAGCCGCCGCGAGGGACGCCGGGAGCGGAAATACACCGAAGAAAGGGGAGGAAGGAGGGGGCTTCCTCTCTCTATGGTTCATGCGCCGGCCCTAGACTTCCCGCAGCTCTTCGGCCCGAGGCTTTTGAAGAGCTCCCCCTGCCGGCTCGGAGGCGACCTTGCGGGTTAACGTGAAACCCCAGGAAGAAAGAGGATTTTGGATTTGGAATACAGTAAGGGATAAATGTATAATCTAATGCAAACCCTTTAAGCTTTGTGTATAGGTATTTACATGAGTATAACTTTTAAAGTCACTTGTAATGAGATGAAGGAGGTTTAAAATTGGATTACTAAGAATATAAACAAGCACTAAACAATGCCTACATTTAAAATTGTATTTGAACCTGTATTTTAAACTGGTGTTTTTTCCCCTATTATGTTTTTACTGTAATTTTACTGGTGTTAGCTGCCCTGAGCCCGGCTCTGGCTGGGGAGAGTGGGGTATAAATATTATTATTATTATTATTAATGGAACCAAGAGGGGGAGTGGAGGCAAGTCAAGCAAAATTATGACTTAAAAATTTGTTCATGATGTTTTGTTTTCTTTTTCCTATGTAGTGTTGTTGTTATTCTTATTTTTATTTTTTCTTCTGTTGTTATGTTATTTTTGGAAATTAATAAATTGTTATTCCCCCGCCCTGAAAAGGAGGTGACCTTGCGGGTGGGAGAATTGTCTATTTCGAAGGGGCTCCCCAGGGCCATCTAGTCTGAGCTGCTTGCAGTGTGGGAATCGCAGCTAAAGACTGGCTAGCTTCAGGTCAAGGCGTTTGCCTGAGGTTGCTGGGAGGGCAGAATGGTGGAATCACCAGAATAGTAGAGTTGGAAAGACCCCCAGAGGGTCTGATCCAGCGGGCTCTTCTTCTTCTTAGATTCTCTCTGGGGTTTCAAAAGCAGCTCCTCCTAGCCAAAAGGGCGTTGAAATAGCTGTCGAAAGCATCCCTCCTTGCATCCCATAAGCAATTGTCTGAGCAATATCATTTTTAGCCATATTGCAATGCGTTCTAGAGAGGTCGGTTGCATGTACTCAGAAGGCAGGCACAAGAAATGAGACCTCCAGTGCCGGATTTACGTATAAGCTAAACAAGCTTTAACTTAGGGCCCCACTCTCTTGGGCCCCCCCAAAAAAATAAAGGGGGAAAAACTGGATGTATATTTCCAAAATATAAGATAAAAAACAAATAAAATAAAACCTACATACAGCAACAGTGTTTTGTGTTGTGTAGGCTTCTATGGTGTAAGTCATGGGCCCCGCCTGCTAGCCTGCTCCCTAAAACATCACTGGTTTGTTCCTTTCTATATACAGGGTGCCTACATTCTGCATGGACTGTTATGTGCAAATGGCTTTGGATACCTATTAGGTCCATCAATTACCATATAGCATATATTCAACACAAAAAACAGCAACAATTTGTTGTTGACAAAGGACAGCTGGACATATAAAGGGCCCCATTACCTTCAGTAGTTTAGGGCTCATCAAACCTAAATCTGGCCCTGCTTCAGGCATTGTGTCTTCATCGCAGTTATGCTGTTAGGCCCTGCCATAAGCCATGCAACGCACTTCTCTGTGAGCTTACTCTGATGTAAGTCTGGCTGCATTCACTAGGACTTTTTTTTTATTATTGTATGTATTACGTTGTGTGCTAGACGCTTCTAATTCCCTAGAATCAGCAAGTGCTGTATATGTGTGTCGATAAACCATATATCTGCTGTGCGTCATTTCTAAAAGGAAACACAGACCCTGAGCAAAGCTAATGGAATGCCTGGAATCCCACACTGCTTGGATATTGGGGTGGAGTGCGTTGCAACCTTATGCATACTGCAATGTTTGTAATCTAGTGGTGCAGCAATGAAACTGCTAGCACATTTGAATACCTAAGCAGGGTCCAAGGTCCGTATAGTCAAAGCTATGGTTTTCCCAGTAGTGATGTATGGAAGTGAGAGCTGGACCATAAAGAAGGCTGATCGCCGAAGAATTGATGCTTTTGAATTCTGGTGCTGGAGGAGACTCTTGAGAGTCCCATGGACTGCAAGAAGATCCAACCTCTCCATTCTGAAGGAAATCAGCCCTGAGTGCTCACTGGAAGGACAGATCCTGAAGCTGAGGCTCCAAGACTTTGGCCACCTCATGAGAGAGAAGACTCCCTGGAAAAGACCCTGATGTTGGGAAAGATGGAGGGCACAAGGAGAAGGGGATGACAGAGGACGAGATGGCTGGACAGTGTCCTCGAAGCTACCAGCATGAGTTTGACCAAACTGCGGGAGGCAGTGGAAGACAGGAGTGCCTGGCGTGCTCTGGTCCATGGGGTCACGAAGAGTCGGACACGACTAATCAACTAAACAACAACAAAGCAGAGTCCAGTCTGGATACAGATTGGATGGGGCATCCTGTACTCACAGGGTCCAGCCTGTGGGAGACCTGCAAGCAGAATTTGGGCACAAGGCCTCTCTCCCTTCCTGTGATTTCCAGCATCTGGTATTCAGAAGCACGTACTGCCTCCATTATGGGATGCTGGCAGCAACTGGAAAGAGTTTATGGACTCAGGAGGAGACGTTCTCCTCAAGAATTGGGACCCTGGTGAAAGAAGAAGAGTTTTGGATTTGATATCCCGCCTTTCACTCCCCTTAAGGAGTCTCAAAGCGGCTAACATTCTCCTTTCCCTTCCTCCCCCACAACAAACACTCTGTGAGGTGAGTGGGGCTGAGAGACTTCAGAGAAGTGTGACTGGCCCAAGGTCACCCAGCAGCTGCATGTGGAGGAGCGGAGATTCGAACCCAGTTCCCCAGATTACGAGTCTATCGCTCTTAACCACTACACCACACTGGCTCTCATTTTGTGTTCTCCTTTCATTTCCTCCCCCCCAACAAACACTCTGTGAGGTGAGTGAGGCTGAGAGACTTCAGAGAAGTGTGACTGGCCCAAGGTCACCCAGCAGCTGCATGTGGAGGAGCGGAGACTCGAACCCGGTTCCCCAAATTACAAGACTACCGCTCTTAACCACTACACCATACTGGCTCTCATACTGGTGCAATGAGTGCTGCTGTCCTCTGGTGTGTGCACACCCTTTTGTTCTTTCTCAAAGATGCATTTCCTGTCTTCCTGCTCTATTCTTGGAGCGCCTGAAGCAAGTCATCTCATGAGCATTAGAAAAGCAAGCCCCAAGGAAAAGAGTCAACAGCAATAACACAGCGGATGTTATAGATGAACTGTTGCCACGATGCGCCCTGCGTCATAGAGATGGTCCTCGGTTTGAAGAATCCTGGGAGCGGCACCCTCACAAAACTACAATTCCCAGCACCCTTAAACTACAGAACTACAGGTGGGGCTCCCTCCCAGCCGTACCTGGAGGTGCCAGGGAGTGAAGCTGAGACCTTCTGCATGCAGAACATATGCTCTGCCATTGAGCCACTGCCTTTCCCCTAATAACACAGTATAGTCCGTGCCGTCCTCTATAGCGTTTGCAATTCCTGCTAATAATAATAATAATAATAATAATAATAATAATAATAATAATAATTTATTTATACCCTGCCCATCTGACTGAGTTTCCCCAGCCACTCTGGGCAGCTTCCAACCAAGTGTTAAAAACAACACAGCATTAAACATTAAAAACTTCCCTGAACGGGGCTGCCTTCAGATGTCTTCTAAATGTCAGGTAGTTGTTTATCTCTTTGATGGGAGGGCGTTCCACAGGGCGGGCGCCACCACCGAGAAGGCCCTCTGCCTGGTTCCCTGTAACTTGGCTTCCAGCAGTGAGGGAACCGCCAGAAGGCCCTCGGAGCTGGACCTCTGTGTCCAGGCTGAACGATGGGGGTGGAGACGCTCCTTCAGGTATACTGGACCGAGGCCGTTTAGGGCTTTAAAGGTCAGCACCAACACTTTGAATTGGGCTCGGAAACATACTGGGAGCCAATGCAGATCTCTCAGGACCGGTGTTATGTGGTCCCGGCGGCTGCTCCCAGTCACCAGTCTAGCTGCTGCATTCTGGATTAATTGGAGTTTCTGGGTCACCTTCAAAGGTAGCCCCACGTAGAGAGCATTGCAGTAGTCCAAGCCGGAGATAACTATGCACCACTCTGGCAAGACAGTCCTTGTTTTGTGTCATATATGTAGATACAATAAACACACACGACATAACCGGCTGTACGTTTGAAGAAATAATATATACTATTCATTGTATTAAATTGTAGATTTCAACAGCAGCTACTACTATGCTATAAGATCCACTGTCCTGTGATATCATATATGAGCTTGTACTACTGATGAAGCCCAAGATTGCGAAACAAGGCTAATATTACGGAAATCCTCGTCTTAGACTCTGTGAAAGGATTCTGTGGAACTGCAACAACCTTTCGTATGGACTGTTGGACTCTATGAACAGACAGGTGGAATAGACATTTTCACATGTATGGACCTTATGCATAAACTGATTAGAGAATGAACTGATCCACTGGGTCTTCTACATTTTTCGTTGAACTTTATTTGTTACTTCTGTTGAAATCTACAATTCAATACAACGAATAGTATATATTATTTTTTCAAACGTACAGCTGGTTATGTCTTGTGTGTTTATTGAATTTGTTTATATATGTAGATACAGCATGCATACTCTAAACTCCTGTACCCCAGACATTGATGAAGATATTGAACAACATTTGACCTGGGACAGAGGCAATAGGTAATAGGCAATAGACCATGGGTTCAGGGCCATCTTAAGCATATCTGGTGCCGTGGTGCAAAGATCCCTCCAGCGCCCCCCCCCCGGCAACTCCAAAACAAGGGAGGGGGCGGTGGAAAATGTCCTCTGCCTCCCCCCCCCCGCCCCAATCCCCAGCGTGGTGGCAGCAATCAAGCAGGAAAACGTGCTGGCAGACATGCTCTCCGGCGTTGGGGCGCCTGTGAAGGCTGCACACCGCCTTTTGCCAGGAAGCAGGAGTAGGACAACGACCGGGAGCAGGGCCATCTTAAGCAGA